GCTCATCCTCAGCAGTACTGGACTCGGCACCAAATATGTGGCAAATATGTAACGCGTCCTCTTTGTCCGTCTCAATAATAGTGAGAAGACTGGACCTCAAAGTGAGAGCAACTAGAACATGCACATGTCAGAATCGTTGCAGGCGTCTGTAAGCACTCGGCAACAGGCGAAAACAGCCAACAGGCTGAGGCATTCAATCAATTCGCTGCAGGCGTCTCACAGTCAGTACTCTGCCAACGACTGGACTCTGTACTCCACGTCTCTGCGCTGCTAACACGAAAGACTACAGCACAACAGGCGCTTGATCACTCTCAACACACTGCGCGGACGAATGGTGCACAAGCCAACACTCGTGCAATATCACTTGGGTGGAGATAACCCTGGCTGAAATCTCTAACTGACTTGATCGGCAACTGGCATAGGACCTGTTCTGTATCTGGCTTTGAACAGCAGCAGACTGTAGACAGTCAATTTCACTCGCTCAACGGTACAGCAATTGAGGGGGGGAAATGCTGACAGGCTGTTGCTCCGATCAGAGGGTGGTCAATCAAGACCAGACAGTCAGGCAGGCAATCCTGCTGCAGACAGTGCGATAAACGAATACTGTCTGGAGCGCACATGTGCATATCTCCACGCCAAGTCTCGGGTCCTTTCACATGGAAATCACCTTGTTATCCTGACAATTCAGAACCTTGCTCACTCTTGGCACACAACATGCAGCGACGCATACATCGAAAACTCTCAGCGTCTGCAGGTACGTGGGAATGATCAGTCCCCATATCAGCCATGAACGCAGCCCTCTTCGATGGACCACCAACTGCATTCATGGGGTGGTCCCCCTGTATGCTTTAATGGTGAAACCTCAGACGCTGGGCTACGTACACTTCCTCCCTTGGCAACAGGGTTGGCACACACACACACACACACACCCACACCCACACCCACACGCACACGCGCACACACACACACACACACAGAGACACACACAGACAGACAGACACGCAGACACACACAGACAGACAGAGACAGACAGGCACACAGACAGGCAGGCAGGCAGGCAGACAGACAGACAGACACACACACACACACACACACACATGTGCACAAACACACGTGCACAACACACACGCATACCGACAGACAGACAGAGACAGACAGGGAGCGACAGGGACAGACAGGGACAGAAAGAGACAGACAAAGACAGTTTCAGACAGACAGAGACGGACAGTTACAGACACACACACACACACGCACAAACACAAGAACACGAGCACGAACACGAACATAAACACATCACACACGCAGGCACGCAGGAGCATTTGCAAAAACACATGCATGCATGCATGCATCATGGGACGCTTCTTCCCAACCCGCCAAGAAAGTTTCCTGGGATCCTGCACAAAGTGTAACACGGGAAACAAGGGCATGCTTGTAACAAGACATAAGTGCCAGGGATGGAGTAGGACTGGAAGCAACCTCTAGTCCCTTGTGGCGACCGCATTTTGGGAACGGTTCAGTACGTAATGCGAAAGAGGTACGCGTGCCGGTTATCTTTGCGTGCTGGCAGATATACTTGCAGATGCAACAACCAAGTTTTGAGCCATTTCGCAAGAGTGCATTCGGAGCTCCTTCCCCCGTACGCGGCTGTTTCGGCCTTTGCATGGACGTGCCTTGGCAAATTCGTGAGAAGCAGCCGTATATAAATGGTATCATTTGGTCGCACAATGTACCGCTTCGTTCTTGGATGTTCTTGGTTTGCCAGGGCAGCACCTTGCCGGACCAGCTCGCTGCTGATGGGCCTTTCGGCACAGCTGTTGGCAGTTGTCGTGAAAATCAATCAGATTGCTGTTGATGGAGGGATGCACACTTGACAGTCTGATTCTTTGCCTCGAACTGAGTCCACTGATACAACCACGTGCCCACAGCGGCAGAAGGGCCAACTACCGCCCACCTTCAACTTCAACGTCCTCGCCATGACGAGGCACTCCATCACACCCGCAGCATGGCTCACTTTATTGTTCTTATTGTTCTTGGCAGTCCGCTGCCTTCGTTTGAGCTGTTGGTGCTGGTTTTTTCAACGACGCTAAACAGCTCACTTAGATTTCGGGCTCGGGCCAATGAACCAAGTTCTCTCCTTCCCCTACGCTGTCAAACATGTCTAGTTGTTCATGTATTGAGCGCAACCGGAGTGGGCGACACTCGGTAGAATTGGAAACACTCGAGCGCATGCGGCATGCGTAGGGCTGATCTTTCCTGCCGGGACCTTCTCAGCAGAGCATGTTTCACAAGGACACCTGTGCCGTCTCTTTTTGGCAAGGCTTCCAAGGTTTCGGAGTGCGAACGTGTCCCAATCGACCCTCGAATTCTTCTTCATGCCTCCGTTCAAAAGGATGTGGTCAGCTACAACTCATTGATCGCAGCATGCGCTGGCTCTGCTGCCTGGCAGCTTGCGGTGGACGTCCTCGCCCACATGCCCGTGTCACCAGATTCCACTAGCCGGTTGGTTGCACTGTTTGGTTTGAAAAGTTCGAGTCGTTGTTTGTGGTAGTACATGGCTGGGACATGTACGGACACCGAATACATTCTGAGACTGATACAGCTGGTCTTGCACAATGGCGCGTTTGCAAACTCAGATGGCTTTCTATGAGGCTTTTCGTCCACCATCCGAGCATGCGAGAAGAGCACATGCTGGAAAGGGGCTGTTTCCCTCATCTTCAAAATGGTTGACTGCCAGGCAGGCCATGGCTTTCACACAGCTTTCAGATAGTTACTCTTGCTACATTTTTTCCCTCAGACTCTCTCAGAGATGTTTTCAATCTGAAAGCTGAAAGCTCCAAGATCAAAAAAACGTAGCACAGACTGCTCCTGTCTTCTGCTCTTCCTGGCAGATTCTGCCCGCTGGTATCAGTTGTGGAGCCGCTCTGAATGCCTGCAAAAGAGGCGACTCGGAAGGACTTGGCATCGTGACTTACCACCCCATCCTGCGACGAATGCATGCGCAAAAAGAACAGGGTTGGAAGAGGCCGAGACTGCGCAGACCGCGCGTGCAAAATGGCAACTAAATCAACAGCAAGTAACTAGCTTACCGGGAGCCAGGACTTGCTGTCATATCAGCAGCCCCCGAAATGCCCCGAAACACCTGCATCCCGACGCCAACAGATTGCCCCGCCTATCTAGCCATGCCTGCAAGGAAAGCGCTGGCAGCAGATGTTGGCCCTTTTGAACGCACTCCTGGACATGAAGGCCAGGGTTATCCTGCAATCCTCAAGCTCGCTGGCAATTTTCCATACATCAAGGCCACAACATGGGCAGGCATCCCCCGATGAGATAAGCTACAGTGCAACCATCGCGGCCTGTGGCAACGATTCCTGGCAGAACGCACTGTCAGTTTTCCAGAGGCAGCTCTCGCAGACATTCACAGACAGCACGGCGATTGACATGCTCCATTGTGTTTTGTGGAGGGGTTTCAAACGTGCATGTGCAGGATGCGTGAACAAGAAGTGCTTCCTGATATTATCTCTTTCTCTTCGGCCGCGCATGCGTGCGGAGCACATGGACGCTGGCAGCAAGCTTTCGCACTTTGCTGCTGCATGCGCCACTTGCTTGGCCAGAATGTGCACATGCAGCAGCATGCATAATGCACCGTCTAACCAAAAGCAATGACAGACAAGCCAAGCGCCTATGCCCTGATCTGCCCTGCTTAGCGCTTCTTCTTTTGCCACTCGCCGGGCTGAAGCGCTTTCTTAGTTGAAAGCTTCTGAGCTCGTGAGGCCAACAGCTTGGACGTGAGCCCAATGCAGTGATGATGAGCTCGATGATCTCTGCTTGTGGTGCCAGCAAAGAGTGGCAGAGAGCTTTCGCATTGCTCGCGCAGATGCAATCTGACACCCTGCAGATGGCCCCTCTTGCAAAGTAAGAACAAGAGCCGAAGGTTGTCAGCCTGTTCACACTTCTTCTAGGATCGCATGGGTGCTCTAGCTATGTTCGCCTGGCTTCACCCAGGATGTCTTTGTTTATGGCGCGGCCATAAACGCATGTGAAGAAGCAGGTCTGTGGGAGGAGGCCGTGCACCTCCTTGGTGGCACCCTGGCCGAGCCAGATCGCTGAATAGTGTGGGGTTCCAATCAGCAACCCCTCTCCCCCCTCCCAAAAAAAAGCTAAATCCGGAGTAGTCAAGGTTGTTTTTTTGGGCTTCTATGAGTCTTGAAGGCCTGAAACTTGGAGTCAGAATGGCCTTGGAAAGCTGGAGGCTTCAGGTGGATTCGGACCTCGTTAAAACTTGATCGCCTGGCTTTATTCTGCTTTTAAGAATCCGGGGCTACATCGTGATTCTTATTCTGTTTCGGCAACACTTCGCACTGCGCACTGTTCCAAACTACTCGTTTTGGGATTCTGTTTGGGGAACACTTCGCACTATTCCGGACCACATGAACATCTCAACATGACATCTGAATCGGCTGCGCCGGTGAACCCAGGCATGATCACAGCAAGAGTGCTGCCCAACAACGTGTGTTTCAATGCTGCAATAAGTGCATGTGACAAAGGCCATCGGCTTGTGACAAAGCGTATGCGTTGACTTGCCTTGGCCTGTTATGGTGACAGGTGGTCAGTGGGAACTTGGACTGGACTTTTTGTTCAACCTGCAGTCATGGAAAGTGAAAGCAGATGCAGTCAGCTGCGGGGCCGTAGCTCAAGCTGCAACATCTCGCATTCCGTTGTCATATAAGGTGATGCTGTGTGAGTAAATGTTGTGTCTGGGAGTGGCTTCTGCGTTTCTGCTCGTAATTATTTATTTGTTGTTTTGTTAGGCGATAAGCGCTTGCGCACAATGCCATCAATGGAGAGCAGCCCTGACCCTCCTGGATGGCATGACTTCCATGAGAATCAGAAGAAATGCGAAGCTCAGCTCGTGGCAGCTAGTGACTCTAGTGGTTCCTGAGGTGCAGGTCAGGTATGTCAAGACTATCAACACTTGCCTGGGGCTGTAAGAGCTCAGGATCGCTTACACCAGCGCATTGAGTGGTCTTGAGAAAGCAGGGCATTGGGAGCCGTTATTGCTGATGCTCGCTGGGACGCTTGGGACTTCAGCCAACAGGTCGTGATATTCCATGTGATTCCTTCGAGGGTTGGTCGTCTGCTGGGATCCAATAAGGATGTCGACGGAAACTTTGCAGCCTACTTTAGCCAGCTATGGGGCTGCAATGAGCGCCTGTGAATCCGTTGGTGCATGGGCACCTGCACTGAGTTTGCTTCAAGGGATGAAGTATCTCGGCGACGCATGATGAAGCAAGCAACAGCTGTTGTGTGTATAACGTATGATCGCTTTGTAATATGTTACACTTGACGCCAGCATGCAAGCCCGCAAGTTTTCAACCCACCTACTGCGAAACTCCACCCATAGCTCCAGAACTGACCAAGACATCTCCTTCCAGCAGAGGTCGCAACGACTTGTTCCCACCGGATTGATTGCTGGCTCGCTGGCAGGGGCTGTGCACCAGGGCCTTTGCAAGAAAGCAGCTCTCGAACCAAGTCTGGAAATATGTGTTGCGTGCTGCTGCTGTTCCACATGCGCAGTTATGTCAATTTCCTTGATTTCCTTTTCTTGCCAACAACTGCGCACATCCGCATGGGCCATGGTCCTTGGTAGGGCCAGAGCTACGACTGCAAGAAGGATGCCACATCAGAGTGGCAACGGCCACAATGCCAATCTACATGCCTTTCTGCCAGGTCAGCTGCAGTGGCACCAGCAGCCACCACAAATCCACCAATCGCAAAGCAGCAAGCCACAATTGCAAAGCTGTGGCATTCTGGTTTGCCCATGATTATGCACTCGAATTTGTGTCGTTCACGCACGAAAATTCACGTTAACGCACCACAAGTCCATCGTGGAAGGACAAGGAAAAAATGCCACGAATTTGGTTCAATCTGCCGTCGTTTCAAGTCAACGCACGATCCTTGCCATAGAGCAAGTCGAAGCAAGAAAGGCGTAGAAAGTCGTAGGACTCCAGCAAAGGGTAACAGCCCGGCGTCTTCAGCCTGAGCATCGCAAACCCTTACCCGACTTCGGGTTCTCAGTCACGCCAGCTTTTCTGCAACGGTTGACTAAGAACGTGGACGCTGAACGAGCTGTCCTGCAGTACATCTGGCTGGTTACTGGTGTATCTTGTGGTTGTCCCATGCAAACTGAAATTTAGACCATTGTGGATTCATGGCCCCCTCTGCGGGGACACCAGCGGCCGCGGGAGCACTGCCCTGTGCCGCAAGGCTTGGGTCGAGCCATGCATGTTTCCCAAGTCGTCCTTGGCCTTGCGAACTGCTTGGACACATCCCCCCAAGCCAATCTATAAGCGATATCCGTTTCAGCATACTTCCAACCCGACACACCAGTGGCAAAGAACCGGCTTGCCGGGGAGTTCATGGCGACGCCACCGTCGGGCTTGCCTGCCTTGGCGGATTGGAAGCTTCGATTCACCTGCCTCGCCTCTCGTTTCCTGCTGCACAATAGTGATGTAGAGACTTGCTGCGTTCGTCACTTCTTGCCTTGACAGGCCACGAAGGTAAGGGCCAGGGCTTGTTTGAAGCGCCTGGGTGCCTGAGTTTTTCTCGTCCAGGATATCTTAGAAGAGCTGCGAGGCGTTTGGGTTGAGCAGAGTCCCATCCTCAATGTGCTGGGGTTTCTGTGCGTTTATCATGCATCAGATGTTGAGATTACCTTGCCTGGAGTCATGCAGAGAGGAGACAAAGATGGGCCAAGGTCCGGAAGCTACTTGCGCGATGGTTCCAGCAGATGGTGCTGCGGATCTCGCCAGTGTGGTGGTTGGCTGGAGTCCTGGTGTCGTGGCTGCGCTGAAGCCTAGCGGCTCAAGGACAGCGATGCAATGGCAACTGTACCACTGTACCAGCACTGTAACACCCACCCATTCTTCAACAAAAAGCATTGCATTGGGTGCCATCAGCTGACTGGTTTGGATTGTTGGTGAGCTGCTTTGACCCGGGCCCGGGCCAAAAGCATCCACGCCACCTGGGACCTCTCCTTTGACCGGCTGGTTCGACTCATTTTCATGGTGATGGGGTGAGCAGAGATAGCTACAGTGGGGCCGGGCAGGGGATTTCGGAATTGATGCGTCTGAGTTTTGATAGCGAGGACCGAGGAGCTGGCCGAAACCTTGGCCGAATATTTCGGTTGCGAGCTGGCTCTTGTTTCCCGACTGGACCATCCGACATCAGGCCCGTTTCATCAGGTTCTCAAACTCCTCAGCTGTGACCTGCGTTTGGGCGGCATTGTGAGAATTATCCAGCACGCGCCCAAGTCACGACAGTGCTAGCAGCTCAGCAGGTGTGCTTCCCATGGCCTTTGGGCCAGAAGGCTCTGTGGCGGCCAATTGGCTTCAAGCCCAATTTGCAGCGCGAATGGTGTACAAGGAGCCTTGCTTCACAAGTTGTCAGCGGAGGTAACGCTCCGTGACCCGCCTCGGTCGGGGGTCGTCTATGCAGATCCCGACGTTCAGAATCGTCAACTCATTCCCCAGACTCCCTAGACCGACATGATTTCCATTGAGCACCTGACTTTTCCTCTCAAAACCAGAAGCCCACTTGCTAAGCGGCCTGAAAAATCCTGAAAGTTCAAAGCGGGCGGCGTTCGCGATAAGGCCCGTGAACGGTCCATGGCGGTCGGTCGGGGGGGGGTCGATTATTGGGCTCATGGGGACACACCTGGAACCGAGCACAGTCCACCGCAAGGCCACAGGCAAGTGTAGAGAAGTGAAGGGGCCGTCCCTGATGGCCCTATGGTCAGCCCAAATGCCCTCTGGTCCTGTGCACCGCTTTCGAGCGCCGTCGGCTGGGTGGGATACCCATTCCAGGCAAAAATTGACAGAATACTTAAAGGTTGTAGAACCCAGTCCGAAGCCTCGGCAGATTGCATGGAAGCCATCACCAGGCATAGTCCTCCTCCTCAGCTCTGCAGGAGTATCTTTGCTTGGTGGAAGGCAGTGCAGTGGGAGGCACCGGCTTCACTGCGCAAATTGATGCAGCTTTGCAAACGTTTAAACGGGGAGCCTCGGCATCTATTGAACAGTCTGCTAAGTTAAGCACAATTGCAAACTATAGCAACTGTAGAAGGCTTGGAAGTACTGTGCTGTGTCGCTGTAGTGTGCGGTGCTCTATGCCCTGTACTTTCTTTCCATCTGCGCATTCCATCATTCGAAGAGTAAGCCAGACCCGTAAACCGTAAACTAATTCATGACTTTCCATGTTCTGGCTATTTGTTCCAGAGGACAGCGGCAGCACCAGGATGTAAGGGATGCACCATGGAAACATATGGTAACGCCGAGAGACACCAGACCTTGGATGACTAGGTGATGCTGATTCTGCTGCTTCGATCAACTGAGCCTCAAAAGATGCTAGTTGTGCGCTTTGCGCCCACCATGTTCAAATGTTCTGAAGGCAAATATGTACAGCTCTCGGAAGAGCAAGCCAACTGCTCATCAAGAGTAAATCGAGCAGTTGGAATCGCTGGACGTGCTTGCCCTCCAGTGCGGCTTAAGGCCATTTAGGGTTTAGGGTACTGTGCCCAGCACAGCTCGCTCGCTCTCTCTCTCTCTCTCGCTTGGTCTCGCTCGCTCTCGCTCTCTCTCTCTCTCTCTCTCTTTCTTTCACTCTCTCTTTCACTCTCCTCTGTCTGTCTCTGTCTCTGTGTCTCTCTGTCTCTCTCTCGCTCTCGCGCCCTCTCTCTGGGATTGTGGCCTGGAAGAGGGATGCTTGGTGCGGATCTCGGGTGTAGGGTCCCCGAGACACAGAGCGCCAGTGTGGTTCCCCAGTTTCCTAGGCTAGGTTGCGGTTTTAGGTGGTGACCGAAAGCTACTTAGTCTACTTCACACGAACGCGCCCCCAGCATCCGTTACTGGTGTCAATATCAATTTATCAAGACTGATCCTTCACTCTGAAGCGCCAAGGAGAGCAGCTGCGAACGGAAGTTTCCAGCTTGGGTCGGGATGCACAGACAGAATACCAGGCGGCAGCTTGCTGACGCTGTTAGTGAGCGAAGAGCTTAGCAAGTGCAATTGCAAGTGCACCTCATACGGTAAGACGGGGGAATGTGCACAGCCCTAGACGTGCAGCTCACCCGAATCGTCCTCTCGCTCCGTGCCACAGCTCCAGAAGAACACGTGCACAAAAGATGCCGAAGACATCTGAAACACCCTCGCTTGAGGGTGCCAATTCATGGGGTGCGCCGCCCTACCCGACCCCCTGAATGACCCCCACAGAACTACAGAGTCCCCAGGACACCCCGGCAGAACCCGACGAGCCCTGCATAGCCACGCAGAACCTATAGGGAAGATTTCAATTGCCTTGTGGAAAAGTTCGCAGAACCGCCCACTGCCTCGCAGAAGCGCGGCTGCCCCGCAAAGGACATTCAGAGGGCGGATAGACGGCCCACCCCATAAATTGGCGCCCCGGCTTGGGAAAAGTATGAAAACCGGCGAACTTGAACTGCTGCACGAGCAGGCCGACCCAAACCATCTTCACTACTACGCCATTGGAGGGCTCGAAGACATGCAACTTCCAAACCCTGCCATCACCGTGACCTCATCTTATCGTTGTATATGTTCACGTCCAAGCAGTGGGAGTAGTTTCCCGGCTCTTGTTCCGGCAGAGCTCCAAAGGAGCACGCTCGCAGAAATTCAACCATCCGGTCGAGTCAAGGCTCGGTCGTTTGAAGCCGTGCCACTGGAAGGACTTGATCCACCACGGCTGGCTGCATGTGTGAGTCGTGCGTGTAACCAGCGTAACCTCCTCCGATTGCGGCGCGTGCTGTCTTGGCCCACAACCTCCACGTAACCTCTGCGGAAGTGTGGAAGAGTCATGCACAAGCCTGAACAGGTGTTGGGAAGATATAGAATGGATGCATCGACGAACGAGATTCTGTCTTTCCTCTCGGTGCGCCCTCGAACTGGCCGAACACATCAGATTCGTGTGCCTCGGGACGCACATGATTCAAATGCCTACATAGCTTGCAATATGCTTCAAATGTATGCTGCTGGCAAGCGCTTTTGTTTGGCTTTGACGTTAAAAAGTCAACCTGAGCTTCGCCCAGGTCCACATGGCCAGCATAGGTGCACCAATTGTTGGTGATCAGACTTATGGCATGAAGAGCCTCGACCTGCAAGAAGCAGCCCAATAATTCGCTACAAACCACTACATGGACGCCATGCTATGCAGTTCTTGCATGTTCTTGCCTTATTTGGCTTGTCTTCTTTCTTACATTGTCTCAGGAAGGATTCTGTGCTGCCTTGGTGTGGGCGTCTCTTCTTGCATTGCCACCGCATCAGATGCAAAGACCTCAGTGGACACGATTTCGAGGCTGAAGCGCCTCTTCCGGCCGAGCTTGAAGAAGTTCTTAGAAGACTTCAGAAAGCTGAGTAGTTCAGATCAAGATTAAACGTGCCATAACTTGACGAAAAACAAAAAGGAAAGCAGCTGCTAGAGTTGTGGCCGACTGCGGCAGGGGAGGCGGACAACAACCGAAATGAACGAAACTCCATGTCTGTAGTCTGTAGCATGTTGGAGCATTCTTAGAATCGTCACGGCATTCACATCCATCTTGGAGTTGATTGGAATTGGAACGGCCCTGGCACCGAAACCATGCTACACTTTCTGCTAATTGTGGCGGAAAGCGCCTTGCGACGTGTGCATCTTGAAGTCTTGAGAACGCAACACCGCTCACAAACACAGCAAATGCTCTCTGTATGCTCTGCTAATTTTCTGGCTCAGACCGGGTCTCTTGAAGAGCAGTTTGCAGGCATTTGTCTGCCGCCTGCTAGCTGTACTTATGTTCTTCACGTTGTGCCAGGACCCACACTGCACGGGGGGGCGATGCGGCTACGTTGAAGCGAGCCAGTCGTAGCGGCACGATCAATTTGTTGCACAATAACCTCCGTCCTCACTGTTCTGAGCTACGGCTGGAAAGCGCAACCCTTGGTCGCAATGTGCGCGCAGCGATTGCGTGCCCTGTATCAGGAGTTGCGTGAACTCTTCCACGATGAAGACCTCGAGTTGTCATTTTCCGACGAGGAGGACACGATTGTTTAGCCAGCTCAGCTCATAGTTCAGATGCAGCTGAACCAACAGGCTTGAGAGTTTTTTGACAGTCTTCGAGTCTTAGAGAAGTGCGAGACTAGTGCTCCACAGCCTCGAACTATGCCAACCTCAGAGACCGTTGATCTTTGTCAGCTTCATTTGGACTGTGACTGTGCCAAGCACGAAACACTTGGACGAGGAAGATAGTCGTATTGCGCACCTGCAATACAGAACAAGTCTTTGTGTTGAGCAGTTAGCCCGTCAGTTCGCCACGAAAGTGCCACAGCAGCGCCCATGTTGTGCCAACAAGCCCTGAGCCACAGGACGGTTTCTCTGAACGGCGCCACGTCGAGAACATTAATAAGGCGACGTATGATCCGGATGCTGACGACTACGAAATGGTCGTCGAGCCTGGTGAGCCAAAAGATGATGATGCAGAAAAAAAGGTGATCCAGCGGCAGATCGCAAGCTTGACGACTCGCATTTCTAAAGGAGGCCAGGCAGCAGCTGAACGTCCATGTTTCAGCTCGGACACAGTTTGTCTGCAGGTGCGCCTGCAACTCTTGACCATTATCAAAAGGCCTTTCAAAGCGAGTAGGCATACTGATTTGTCCGAATGCATGCTGAAAGCATGTGGTGCTCACAGGTCAAAGAAGACTTGATCCTGCAGCTCACCATGCGTGGGATCTACCGCCACAAAACCATGGACATTCCTGAGGATCTGCAATCGACGCTATCAACAATTGCAGCTAGCATGGAATAGCAACGGTAGCCTTGCATTGCCTTGAACAAAGCTTGCACTGCAGTCGGCTTAGTCATAGTCAAAAACACCATTCGTGTGCTCAGTCGACTTGCGACACATATCCGGACGATTACGTTTGCATCCCAGCGGAAATGGAACAGGCGGGAGCCCAAGCTTTGCAGGCTGTGCCAGAGCCATGGGTAAGCACTGCAACCGAAGCCGATGCATTCATGTTGGCCACACGAGCCTAAACTGAATGCGGTAGTTGTGGTTTACAGTAGCGTCACGGTTCCGGAAGTCCAGGCGAAGTTCAGCATGCCATCTTCTGGCATCATGGGACCTAAAGCCCGCAGACTTAGTGGCAAGGAGGCCTCGAATTGCGCCAGCTGCTGGCTTTACCCACTTGTCCATACTTGTCCCCCTCAACGTCACGTGACATCCTGTGCAGGCTCCCGTTGAGTGAATCACGCATGGAGTCGTGACGAGCCCAAGCAAGTGCTTCCTAGTCTAACCTTCAGTCGCTCACGACTGTATCGTTTTTCTCTAATTAAGTCTGTGAATAGCTGATGCGAATGGGTACTCTCTTTCCGAGTGATACCTCGCATCTGGAATTATGTTTTCCCACATCCTAAGAGGAGCTTATTCTGCACCGACGGTGACGGGCAAAGTATAGCCAAGCTTCTCTTTGCTGGTCGCCCTCGGGCAGGAGTTTGAACTGTTATGTTTAAGTTGTCTCAGCTTGGAGACCGACTGCTTTGGTACACTTGTCTGAGTGCCATTGGTTGCTGCCAGCTCAGTGCAGCATCTCGAGCATTGCTTTGGTTTCACATCTTGAGCTAATTCGTTTTCAGATGTTCGCAGAGTTCAGTCGATTCGGCTCAGCTCAACGGAATTTTCATCCGGGACTGTTTTCGGTAGATCGCCTAGCATGCCGAGAGAAGTCCATAATTCGTTATCCAGTCGCGCAAAGGTGTGCGCTGATTTGTTTACCTTCAAACGGAGGCTGCGTAGTGGACAAAGAAGCCCATCTGCTAGGCAATCGTCTCCAAGCAACAGCATGCTAAGCTGTCTTGAAGGATTTTGCTGTGAATTGCGCCGGTCGCAGCAGTCAGTAGCAAAGCATTGGTAACCTGCCCAGGTCCGCAAAGTCGTATCATCTACTCAAAAAGGTCATGGCTGCAGTAGGTCGATAGCGGCATGGAGCTCTTCGCACACCGCCCGTCGACATCATCCCACGGTCCAGGCCTCCTTTTGCAACTGTTGCACGTTGATGAATACCGTGTACCCGTTGTGGAATTCAATGGGTTACACAAACACCAGGTCGATGCAGCAAGCTGCACCGCACGAGTTTGGAGGACCTCCTGGCAGAACTTGGCGAAGATCCTGCGCCTGAGCCGGCTGCTTGTTCACATAGAGGCACCATGAGGCACCTGTTCCACCCTTTTCCTATGTCACATACCCAGTAACCTATCCTGTTCATATCCTACCCGAAAATGGCGTACTTGCGTGGCGCGACCGTGAGTTGGCATTGCGCAACGCCACGCTCAAAGCCACTCAAAGGTGCTTCAAGTTCTGGAGCCGGTGCTTCCAAGCTGGGTGGAAAGTCCGAAGAAGGCCGGGCCCGTCGGGGTTACCGGAAAAAATGCTTGAGCCAAAGTTTCTGAGACCTGTTCTGAAACCGTCTCCGACCCTTTCGACGAGGCGACCGTTGTGCTAAGCGCTCTGGCAAAGAAGAAGTTCTCCGGCAAGACATCGCAGACGTTGAGAATTGAGCCTGCACCAGCATGCACAGCGTTCTTGAAGCGTTATAGGACGAACCACAGACCTACTCTATGTCGGCATGACATGCGCCATCGAGGTTGCCAGGAGCTGCCATCCAGGTGCTTGCTGCGATGTTTCTGGGTAACAATTTGCTAGACAGTCTACTGGAGGGAACTGAGAACCGGGATTGTTCGACGTTGCTTTGGTCAACAGCAACCGGTTAAAACGTTTATGTTTCCCAGCACACAGACACACTGGACTTGGACCACCAAGGCAATCCAGAAAAGCTGAAGTAAATTCTTTCCACATCAGTCAGCGCCCCAGCTGTTATGAGACTAAGACTGCGACTGCTGGGAGCTAGAAGGATCAACACGGAGCAACTTCAATCAAAATGAGAGGAAGCATCCCTTGAAGTCAATCTCGACAAAATGTATGTTCGGGTTTGTCACCAGGTTCGGCCATCTCTGCGGCAGGGCGATGCAGAGATTGGGCCCTGGCACTGTCGCTACTTCAGCGTCCCGAGCTCGCAGCCCACCCTACGGACCGAGGGTCGGGGGGCCTTGGAGTGTATGTGTAGGCAGTGTGTAGGTGTTTGCAAATGTGATTTCGGCATGTGTAGGCACAGGTTTTATGTTTGTATGGCGGTTGGACTGGTGCAAGCAGAGCTCGTGCAGCGATGGCTGCCAGCCAGCAAAAAGTAAAGGGGCTAAAGAACAGCAGCGCTTGGCCGCAAGCGCGAAAAAGGACTTCAAATGAAAAAACTAAGGGCACCGACAGCCACCTAGAGGAGCATCAAGCGAGAGCTCTCAGAGTCACTTGAAGCCCGAATGAAGATGGCGTGGGCGATGTGCTCTCGTTCGGCCGAGCATCAAAAGCATTTTTGGGCAATGCATTGCCAATTCGGAAATTAAATGCGTCCGCGGCAACGCCTCAATAGCTGGAGGAGGGGTCTGTTCGGAAAGCAGGCGTGCGCCTTTTGCAGGCCGAGGGCAGGCCTGAGATGGCCTGAGCCCGAAGCAGCCGTGCTGGCGCTGGAAAGGGCAACCAGGATTGAAAGCTTTTCGCAAGACACTGTGTGGACTTCACATCTGGGGGACTTAGTAAGATATCAAAGGAAGGTGTTTACTAGCTTAGGGTACATACTTTCTTGTGTACCTTATACCTACTCACTATGTCCCCCGATCCTCCAAATTTTCTTTTTGCCCACTGCCATGCGAAAGTTCGGCCAAGATGCTTTGCCGCAGTCAGTCCAGGAGAGGGCTTGGGATTGCGTGCCCATTTAAAGTTCCCCACCGTCTTTATTGGCTTTAGCCTGGCTACAGGACACCCTTGTCAGCAGGGACTTGCGCCTAAGTCGGCTTTTGATGTCCTTCCTTGGACAGCTTGGACACTTCATTTGCAAACCTTTTGCAGTTACAAGCGGTGCAGCCTTGATCGTAACGTTTTGCGTATAGCAGTGTTTCAATGTATGTTCCCCAGGCACACTACTACTTCAGATCGAGAAACGTCGGGCGGGGTGGTCACCTGCTTTTTCGTGTAAGTAGTTGCGCGCGTTTGCGTGTGCTGGCATGCCAGGAGGGTGTGAGGTGTGAGGGGCAGCGGGGCTGCTGCAAACGCGACCTGCAGGAGATTGCTTGGAACGCTGCAATCAGTGCTTGCGAAACAGGAGCCGACATGAGGTTTTGTGCGAGCTTCATGGGGGAGCGGTTTGGTTTCGTTGTGAGATGTGAAGAAAGAGAGGGAGAGAGAGACAGAGAGAGAGAGAGAGAGAGAGTGAGACCGCACCCAACAAGACCTCGGACTTCGCGGTCCTGCGGGCGGCCTCTCCTTCGGGAGGGGCCAAGCATGCAGAGGGAAGGAACGGGTTGAGTTCGCGGTCTGAGCGGGTATTGTGAGTTGTGCTTGCAGGTCTAGGGGACCCTAAAGTCGGGCGAGCGCGAACCCTCCAGGAACACGAGCTTGCAACATGTTGAGCACTAGAGCAATGTGTAGTGCCATCACTTCGCTTGCGCAAAACCGTCCTGAATCGCATCGCATGGTCTATATAGTCCAACAGCTTCAAATGCGGGGCGGCTCCGGTCTGCACGTAAGCCTTGCAATCAGCCATGGATGTTCGGTGCGAAGCATGACACGAGCAGCCAAGGGCGCAGTAATCCCGATGTTCATAAAATTCGTGCTTGAGAGGCTAGGCTTCAAAGGAAACCTCGGCTGGCTGACGAGAGAAACCGAACCAGATGGAGCGCATCGAGTCGCCCAAATCTGATATATGTCTCGATCTCATGCAGCCTGGCAGGTTCCTGGCTCCCCACACACAAGGGTGCAAGATCTTTCGCTTGCATGCAGCCGAGAAGCACACTCTTCGTCAATCAGCAAGAGTCTGTCTCATATGACTTGTACGAAACGAGCCGCAACACCCGGAGGCGACCGACAAGGCAAAGAGCCACATGGAGTCAGGGGAGCACTCTACGCTGGTGCCCTCCAATGGAGGGCCAACTTACGAACACGCCGGACTGAGAGGAAATGAGTGCGATACAGAGCAGCTTCAGCCCAAATGCGAAGGGGAAGGGGAGGTCTTCGTTACTTGCGGGAGGATTCAGGATGTGGAGACTTGAGTGAGGTTGTTTGACGTTAGCAAAGTTTTGATAGAGACATGCACCCACCTGTGGTAAGCGGGGACTGATGGCAGAGGCGTGATCTGTCGGGTCGGGGGAGGGTTTAATAGAAGGATAATGCATCTCTTCCTGCAACGGGAAACTTCCAAGTAGATTCTGTGACTGCCTAACCCCAGCAAATCCTGCGGGGAAGCCAAACACATGTTAGCAGGGCGAACCGTAGACCGCCCTCAGGGGGAACTCTGTTGGTTTCACTCGACCCTGGGGCAAGGGCAGGGGCTGGTCCCCGATGTTCCGAAATGAAAGTACGAGACAATCGTGGGTGAAGGAGGGGACACCTCAAAGCCAGGTACCCAGAAAGGAAAAAAAGACTAAAAAACGAGTTCTAAGGACACAGACGGAGACAGGATGATGGAGGGGGAGAAAGAAATAGAGTTGAGTTCCCAACCCAGAGACTCCCTGTTAGGCCAAACTCAGAGAATTGTGGAGTGAACAATCCCGGAGTCTTTCTGGAATTTCTGGAGCGGAGCGCCCAACCACCCACCACCAAAAGGGGGCTTTGGATGGAGGGGGGGTAGCCAGTCGGGCAGCGCCATGGCCCTTGTGGTCATGGCAAGCGGACCTGTTTCGTCACGGGCGACCCCCGTGGGTAGCAAGCTAGCCTTGTGCGAAGCACACTCAGTGCCCCCGACCCCGCCGTGCCGCCGGTGAACGGCTATTTTTTGCGCAAATGGGATAGCCCCGGACACCCCCCAAAGGCCCCCCAAAGGGAGCGCATCATGAGCATCAGCGGGTTGAGTTCCGGAGCCCCAAGCGCGCATCAGGGGCATCAGCGGCTCCGACCTTGGATGAAGCGGCGGCCCACGCATGCATAAGCTTTCCCTCTGCCGCCAAACCCATGCGTTCCGACTATGAAAGCCTACAGCTGACCCCATCGGGACGCACGCCGGGCAAACGGGCGCGCGCGCGCGCGCGCGTGCGGGCGCGCGGGCGGGCGCCCGCGCGCGCGAGCCCCCCTTCCCGGTTTGCAGAACAACTCTCCTCGAGCTTCTGCTTCTGCCTGCGCTGCCCGCCCATGGGCGCAGCCCCTTTAAATTTTTATGTTCAAAAACATATATGCATGAAATAATGATTGAATAAGTCACGTATTGAAGACCTTGCCAGGAAGCGGCTGGCAGCAAGCCCTGCTGCTTTTGGACCAAATGCCGCTCGCGAGAGTTCTGCCTGGCATTGTGAGCGCCGTGGCTCCACATCATGTGTGCATGGCGAAGCACTTGCGAGTACAGTTTCCTTGCACGCTAACAGGAGCAAACGTTGCGGGGGAGGGGCTTTGAGCGACAGCAGACAGCAAAGGCCAAGTGGAATCTGAGGCGTTACATTTCAAACCATTACTGCTTAATGAATACATCCTTGTTCCACGACTTGTCTCGATATCTCGAGCCCACTCTCGAATGGCTGTGAAGCTCAAAGCCCCCGGAAGGCTACATAAATTCCGGGGTTCGAGGCCAAAAGAAGCAACATGTACTTGAACTGCTGGGATACCGTCAAACCCAACCTATACTCCATTTCTGCCTGGCGAAGCTGTTCAGCTTCGTTGGCTGCCGCATGGCGCGAGCTGAGTAAGACAGTACTGCGCAGGGCTCGGTCCAGCAGGTTTCGAGGGAGAAGCTCGTACACCCCCTGTAGCTCGCTTGATGGCCAAGTAGAATTCATTCAGTCGTTCGCTTCAGAGGATTCCAACCATTGGTATGCATTTAGTATGTTTGGCAGTGTTATTATTGCGCCTTTTCCTGTCCAAGCTTGCCCTTGCTTAGGTTTCAATGCCACGCTCAACGCTTGCAAGCAGGGCACCGATTGGCAACTGGCTTTGGGCTTGATGAGGCCTCAGGGAAGCACTGTTTTTTAAGATGCAAAAACCTCGCGCAGCATCGCACAGCCTCAACATCGTAAAGCTCATCAATCAACGTCATGTATACTTGAAAGCGGAATAGATCGATTGGGGCGTCTGCGATTGCTTCCTGCACGATCATCTTCTCAATGTAGCCTCGGCTTACAACCGTGAATGGGCAATTGCCAGGAGAATGGCAGTGCAAGAGCTGAAGCCTGACTTGGTTACATTCGGCACGGCGATCGCTGCTTGCGGGAGCGACTGGCAATCAGCCATTGAATTACTTTCGCAGATGCTAGCTTCTGGGAACAAAGCTAGCTCGATCATTGTTGCTTCCTTGCGGACTGCACAGAGCAAGATCAGAAATGCCGCAAACCACGGTCATGCGACTTGTGGCGCCTTGAGGCTGCCAAGCTTCCAGCAGAATCAGCTCGTTTCTGGGATTCGCTGGCAACGCCAGGTGTCTGGATGGCTTGTTGCAGTCGAAGTTGGGACTGGCGACTATGTCAAGAGTCCGGGGTTGCTCCGAGGGTAGGTTTTCATCAGAACAAGCACGATTCTGCCTAGGAGGGACTCATCACTCAAAGCCTGCAAAAAATGCCGATCAGGCTACAATGCGGCAATCAGTGCCTGTGAGAAAGCTGGCCGGTGGCAGTTGGCGGCAGGCCGGCTCGCACCAAGAAACATAACCTCTTGTCTTGCATAGCTTCAAAAAAACGCTTGGAAAGGCGCGGAGCGACTGTAGAACTTCCGAACGTCTCGGCCAGGCCTGCTATTCGAGATGAGGTCATCTCTGCTGCTTCCTGACATTGTGTCTTTCAATGCCACCATCTTGTCATGCAGAGAAGGATGCGAGTGGCAGCTTGCAGTCCATCTCATGCTTCTCGGTTCGGCAACACGTGTAAGCGCCTAAAGCTCATGCATGTCAGCGGATATCAGGGGGACAGCCGCGGTTAGCCTGCAATACTTGGCAGACAAGCATCTTTTCCAGTTCAGGCTTCGCCCTGCTGGGTTGATGAAAAGTCTGGTAAGGTGCGGATGTAACTGAACGTGGGTGTGAGGCTTGGGGCAGCACATGAGGTTCACGATGTTTTGAGGAATGCGCTCTCGGACTTTGACCTGGCCCCGGTGACTCCGACCTTCAACGCGCTTCTGACTGCCTGCGGCGCGCGCTGGCCGCTGGCATTGGCGAGTCTGCACAACATGACTGCAGCTGTGGTGGTGCCTGACACCATAAGCCATCTCAGCAAAACTTGAGAGCATGCTAGGCCATCATGATGGCAAAGCATTGGGGAGCAGAAAGATATCTGAACTTTCAGGCTTTACTGCTGCAATCGCCGCGCTCGAGAAGGGCGGTGAGTGGCAAGGCGCCCTCCAGCTGTTCGAGTACATGCTGGAGGCTCCTGCTACATATCAGGCAGTGCCCAGAAATCCAGATCAACTAGAAACCAAGGTCGTATTTATTAGTTCGACGTCCGCTGCATATCCCTGTGAGGCATCGGCCGAGCCGAGTGCTGTCACCTACAATGCCATCATCAGTGCGTGTGAAGGCGGCCCGTGGCAGCATGCCCTCCGGTTGTTCGAGAGGCAAGGGCTGCAAACAATCCTTTGAAAGAGAAGAGCCACTGCTGGACATCAGTTTGGAGCGGCTTCTGAGAGTCAGCAAGAAGAGCTGCAAGAGACAGGATGTCGTCACAAGACATCCAGCCCGACGTGATCAGTCACAATGCCGTCATGAGCGTGCTTGGAACAAGCTTGGCCCTTACATTCTGCCAAATGAAACAGATGTCGGCGTTTGAGATCCTTAAGGTGGCCAGCGCGGCCTTGCACTCTCACTGCTGGCCAGAATGCAAGCTGAACAGATCTCGCCTGATGCAGCTCTTCCCAAGTAATGTTGCAGGATGCACCCACGGTCATGAGTATGGATCTAGATAAGTACGGTGACGCAGGCATGGTCTAATACTCGGTTTAAACTTGGGATTGAAATTTATTTTAAGCTGGTAGGATTGCTTGTCTGTGTTTGGACGTGCTCGGGTTAATTGTAAACGCTTGCGCGGCCAATTCCCTTTAAAGTTCCCCCCCCCCCCCCACACCCCTAAGCCTTTGTCCCCTCTCCCCCCTTGCCCTTTCCCTTCCGTGAATGCTATGTCTTGTGCTAGCTAGAACTTTCCATGTATATACAGTCCTGAGTATATAGGTATCAAGTCTGTGTCGGCCAAACACTGGCAACTCAAGGTATCAAGCCTGCATCGGCTTAAACAGGAGTCTGAAGGTATCAAGTCTGTATCGGCCCAAAAAGGAAACTCCAGGGACCAAGTCTGCATCTGCCTAAAACTTGACTCAAGGTATCAAGTCTGCATTGGTTCGCTTCGCATAGATTCTGCACATTGCTTGACCCGAAGCTCAGGACAGCAGAACGCCATGTACTTCATAGGAATTTCTTGGACCATAAACTCAATGTCTGAAATCCATTTCAAGCCATGAGCCAAGTCAAAGGCGCGTCTTAACGGGCAACTATGCCGGGTTAAATCCGGTTTCAATCCGAGGTTAAAATCGAATATCAGCCACACCCGTACTCACCCATCAACTGCCTGGGTCTACGCCAACATGATAGCTCCACATATTTCAGGATGTCACCTTCGTTCCGGTGGCCCTCGCTTGCAAGCGTGCGGGTGCTTGGCAGGTGGCCAACTCAGGTTGGTTGTGTTGTCGACCTTTCAGGAATCCCTAGAAGCACCTGCAGCATTGCCACAACATTCGCCATCATGTTTCTCTTTGTTGCTCCCAAGCCCTGATGGGAAAGGATGTGATGGCGCTGTTGCCAAAGATGCTCCAGTGCCGACTGGTGCCAGATGCTGTCTATGCAGGCGGCCCGCGGTTTTGCAATGACAAACTTCACGTCAAATGAGACTTGCAGAACTGTGCAGGGTGTGCGACCGGTACGGTTCGAGCTGGCAGAGGTGCAGTAGAAGAAGCCCACGATGACACAAGCACAATGATCATGTGCGCCCATGCAAAAGTATTATTACATATGTGGACAGATGGAGGGTTGGATACCACTCTGTGGTTCGAGGGGTGGGCAAGGTGCTGAGCAGTTCGTTTCTGCTGTTTCGGCAAAGTGCGGTGACCTTTCTTTACTCCCAGTTCTCACACGTGGCAGGCGACGACTTTGCTCTCAGCTTCTTGCGCAGCCTGCGCACCCTTTGGGAACTTGATGCAGCAGACAGCAGCACTGCGGCTGACGGTCCCGAGGCCAGAGAACAAAATCACCAGTTCTGGCATTACAAAGTGCACAACCACGGTTGAATACGGCACTCAGTCAAAAAATGCGAGGTGCTACAGACGGGGTCTGGCATTGTGGCGGTCCTCAAGCCTGCACATGCTCGATTCTGAGTTTCAGGAGGCTTGTTCTTTGCCCCGGCAGTATCTGCACTATTGTCAATTCAAAGGTCACCACACAAGGCCTTGTCGAGTCACTGCAGCAGCGTGCCCCCGTTGGCACGGCATTGTCCATCGTCTCCAGGCACTGCTGCCCAAAAGTGTCGTGTCGTTTGGGAAATAACATGAAACAACCAACATGCTCCAAAACCCTGAAATACAAACAGCCGCCTGGCAACGAATTTGACACAACAATGCCTTGCCTCAGGCTGGACTATCCTACCTCAGGTGTCCTGCCACTTGTCGTGGGAGCGGAGGGTTCCCTCCAAACAAATTGGTTCCGGTCGCTGTTTGCGGCTGGCCTCGTGAGGAAGGAGTATTACTGCTTATGTGAAGGACCTTCCTTAGGGCAAGTGGGGATGTGTGGTGAGGTCGATGCGCCACTGCTGACATGGGAGGTTGAAGGAAGCGAGGATGGAGGATTGGGGAGCCGAAGCGAGGTTTCGGAGCATGGCCGTGAAGCCTTCACGCAGTATGAAGTCACCAAGCGTTTCCGACCTCCCAGACTTCCCCAATCGCAAGAGGCGACACAGCTATCCCAGATATCGGAAGAATTTGAAGATGAGCTGATCTTCTTGCGTGTAAGACCTCGCACGGGCCGAACCCACCAAATTCGCGTGCACATGGCTAGCATTGGTCGACCGCTTGTAGGCGACTTCACCTATGGCAAGCGCGCAAAAACGCTGCTGCCTTCATGTCCTCGTTTGTTCCTACACTGCCATCGTGTTGAGCTCATCGATTTCGAGGACTCCCCTTTTGCGGCCATTGCAGACCTTCCGGAGGATCTCCGCAACGCGCTGAAGACGCTAGCCTCAGCTGAAATACATTGACAGTAGCAGGAAGCAGGAGGTCAGCATCAGCATTTTCGGACGGGTCCACGCAGAACGACGCAGAGTGTTGTCGTGCGACTGCGGAAGCCGCCACCACGCACTGCGATGTCAAGGCCAAGGCTTGGCGAGCGTTGGTGGAAGCATGCAAACAGCAATGTGCAGGCTTGCATAGCTTGCATAGCTTGCATAGCTTGCATAGCTTGCTTAGCTTGCTTAGCTTGCTTAGCTTGCTTAGCTTGCTTAGCTTGCTGTCTCATCCTCACCGCAAAGATCCGCAAAGAGATGGCCGGAATACTGGTGGCCCTCCACATGGGAGAGCTCTAGAGAGTTTGCTGCGCGTCTGGCATGAGTGTTCACGAAGCAACTGGGGTCCGAGGATTGAGCCTGCGTTCCTGCAGTACATTGATGGGACACTTGAGTGAAGGCGGCAAGTCACAAAAAGGCTCCGCAGCATGTAGCTGAATGCCAAGCAGAGCTTCGAAGAATTCTAGCCTGCAAGGGTTACTGTCGTCCTTCTTCGTTTAGTGGTTGTTTACGCTGCAAGTAGATGAGGCTCACAAGGAAGTTGACCGAGCTAGGCTAGTCGTCCGTGTACAAATCTTGGACGGTCTTGAGCATCATGCCAGCTTGGTCTACAGGGCTTTTCGATTGCTGTGGGCAACCTGGCGGGTGTTGCCTTTGTGTCCGAGCCTCGCTTTGTCCTTGTACAATTCTTGGCGACATCAACGAAAGAGTTGGGGGACCCTGTGGCTTTATTGGTGGCTGTGCATGCGGATGTCTGGTGGAGCCTTGCTGCCTTGCGTATTTGTCCAGTACTGTAGCACAAAAGGCAGGCTTTGACGAGGGATGTTTGAAAGCCGTTTGCTGCAGTTGTTGTTGCAGCTGCTGCTACATGACAATGGTCTACAAGGAGACAGAGCTGAAAAGTATGAAGCCTCACCAACAACAGATGCAGTGAGATTTTGCGGCGGAGGGCCGCAAGCTAGGGAAGGCAACGAAGTGAAGCTTTTGCGCCGTGCCTGCCACGTGCACAGCAGCTGCAGGCGTGGCTTTGTACAATGTTGAGCCGTGGGCTGGTACAGAACTGAACCCCCGGCATCGTACTTTCCGAAGTGTTTCATAGGTATGGGCAACAGTGAACAGCTCTCGGCGCTCACGAGGCTGAGCCAACGAGAATCACATGTGCAACTGTAAAGCTGCATGCCATCATGCTACGGGCGCTGCTTCCATTGAACTGTCGCCTTGCCACACCACGAGCTTGCTCGGCAGATCTTCCAAAATGCGGTAGATTGCAGCACCAAGCACATATGTAGAGCTAAAGCAGTGCAAAAGCAGATGCAAGGTTCCCACTCTGAATAGGCTGAGTCTATGGTGAGTTTAAACGACTGGTGCATACTTAACCATGGTACAAAGAACACGAAACCACAGCTTTTAGGTCATCTTCTTCGTTGCTTCTCTTGCATCGTCTTACGTTACTTTTGTGGTTTCTTGTTGTGCATTGTGTTTTCCATCTTTTGCTGCTGCTGTGAATCAGCTTTGCAGGAAGAGCTTTGCAGGACGAGTTGCCTGCCTTTGTCTTTATTGTGCTAATTGTGCATCTAGCGCATCGGCATTTCCCACAACGATTGCATGTGCGGCATATCGCTTAGGTAGTTTCTGATGTTGTTGGACATTGTCACAGTTTTTACAATGCACTGAAAAGTTGACAGTGGGCAGACTGCAGTGACGCTTGCCGCATCCCTCTAGCTCTGTGTGCTCTGCAAGCGCGTATAGAGACAATGACGGCGTGTAGTGGGAACCTGCCAGGAGCTGCTTTGGTGGAATTTCTGTTCTGCGGCATGTGCTTTCTTGGCTCCAGGTGGTTTGGCAATCATGCTTGGCGTGAAGCACGTAAAAGGCTCAGACAGTCTGCCCATCGAGCACGCCAGCCAGCAACTCCACGGACAAAATGACAAGCAGTAAGGGTAGCAGGCCACACAGCTGCAGGGGCTCCGTCGCGGCTGTTTGGGCGACACAAGGCCTTTGAAGCCATCTAAAGCCTTGTAAAATGCCGTGGTAGCTTGTGCAGGCCACGCTGGCTTTGATAATTCAACTGATGGACGTGATTAGAAGCGATGTCCAATCCGGCGTGCAGCGTCGGGAGTCGTGGTGTATCGCATCATCTTTTGGGAACTTGCGCAGTCGGGGCAACTTCTCGACATGAGCCATTAACATTTAAACCTAAGCCAACTCAATTGGACATGCACCGGTAGAATCATGGAGATGAAGTGAAGAGTGTGCAGCGTCACGCTGGTCTCGTTCAAGAAGCCTTCAGGCCGAGTTTCTTCATGGGCTTCTAAGCGTCGCCAGATGGCCGTGAAACTTGGCAAAGCTTTAGCAAAACCCAAGCATGCCACCTGTAGACACTCTAGTTGAGCATCAACCTGCTGAGCGGCTGCGCTATGTTGCGCTATGTTGCACAGAAGCCATTGTGCCATGTTCAAAGCACCGAAGCACTGAGGTGGACACGTCGGCAAGAGCTGGTTCTGAGATCTCCTCTTCCAGAGGGCCCCTGCGACGTACCACTGGCAGTCCGAAGGGAAGACGTCCCAGCGCTGCTTCTCACGGACGCTCTGACAACAGGGTCTGGCTTAAGGGGCATCCCTAAACTCAGCCTGAATTCTTCCCCGTGTCGTTTTGGCGAGGATGCTTCCGGACAGACGCTGAGCTTCTGCGTGGACCAATTCCTGTGCAATGCGAAGTTCCAAATCATCTGGCTGCAACGGCTACAAGCACAGGCTGCCGGGACAGAGTGCGGCCTGGACCTGCAAATTGCCACATTTGGGACAGGAGGGTCACTGTTAGCACACAGGTTGTGAGCACATGTGAGCACTATCTGAGTCACTATCTTATGCAGACAGCCCAATGTACACTTCTCAACATGTTGCGAGGCGGAGTTTTCCTTTACACTGGCCCCGAGCACATGGCGCTCGCAGATACTCCCGCTGGCAGGCCTTCAAAGCACTCTCGAGTCGCCTAGGCCTTAGGCCCTTAGGCATGCTTAACTTTGATAAACTGGCTACGGCTTTCAAGTTTTCTGGCCCAAGCCTCAAGCTACAGAAGCAGTTTCCTTTGCACCCACGGCTCGGCTGTCCTGGTGCGGAAACTGATGGACGTTGTTCCGAAGCAAGAGATAGCAGGAGGTAGTCAGGCGGTGACGGTGTCAGGAGGTCATACTGCTGAGCTTTCGCAGCGTTTCCACGGGGAGCCTTGCCAGTTACGTGCGAGCGCTATTGACTTATGTGAGTTCCAATTCTGCCAGCAAACATAGCTACAAAGTAAAAGGAAGTGTGGATGTTCAAAGTTTGGCCGCAGTTGCATCTGATTGTAGGTCTAGACGGGGTCTTTTTAGGGGATGTCGTTGCATGTGTTTGGGGTTGTCCCTCTGTCTCTGTCTGTCTGTCTGTCTGTGTGTGTGTGTGTGTGTGTGTGTCTCTGTGTGTGTGTCTGTCTCTGTGTGTGTGTCTGTCTCTGTGTGTGTGTCTGTCTCTGTGTGTGTGTCTGTCTCTGTGTGTGTGTCTGTCTCTGTGTGTGTGTGCGTGTCTGTGTGTGTCTGTGTGTGTCTGTGTGTGTCTGTGTGTGTCTGTGTGTGTCTGTGTGTGTGTGTGTGTGTGTTCTCTGTGTGTGTGTGTGTGTGTGCTCTGTGTGTGTGTCTCTGTCTGTGTGTCTCTGTCTGTGTGTCTCTGTCTGTGTGTCTCTGTCTGTGTGTCTCTGTCTGTGTGTCTCTGTCTGTGTGTCTCTGTCTGTGTGTCTCTGTCTGTGTGTCTCTGTCTGTGTGTCTCTGTCTGTGTGTCTCTGTCTGTGTGTCTCTGTCTGTGTGTCTCTCTCTGTGTGTCTCTGTGTGTCTCTGTCTGTCTCTGTCTGTCTCTGTCTGTCTCTGTCTGTCTCTGTCTGTCTGTGTCTGTCTCTGTCTGTCTCTGTCTGTCTCTGTCTGTCTCTGTCTGTCTCTGTCTGTCTCTGTCTGTCTGTCTGTGTGTCGGTCAGGCTGCGTGTGTGGAGTATTGATTGCGACCGCAGTTTGCAAAGAGCGCCTTTGCGTCAGACTCGCTGATGCCTACTTCTGTGTGGACCTTGTGTGAGTGTTGGTCAGTTTTTTTGGGTTGAAACTTGTGAGGACTGCTGTAGCTCTATTCTTTCTCAACTACTAACTAGGTAGGCGGATGGCAAAAAGGTGGGAGCGGAGTGGAAACCATTATATAGATACCCCAAATCGAAGAGAACTCTCAACGCAGACCTTTTGAACCGCCGTTCACCTTGCAGAAAATGCAGAAAAAGCAGGCGGAGTCTACGTGTTGCAGGTAACGCAGCTAGCCAAGGGCGGGCTTGGGCGGCTCGAACTTTTTTTGGCCCCAGTTGCCCCAGGAGCTAGTCTATTCTTGCCACAATTGCGCATAGTCAGCCAGGACGAAATGTTGTTTACTGCAGATTGATGGAAATTTCTTTACTTGCCTAAGGCCTCCAGGTGTTTTTGTAGCTTCGGCAAGTGGGCCCTCCAGTCGTCCTTTGCAAATCACTTCGGATTTTGTGTAGAATTGTATGCACCAGGTCTGCCATGTATGTGACAGCTTCTGGGAAAACTCTCAGGTCATGGTCTTTGAGGAGGTGAAAGTTTTGCGTCCAGATGTGGTGCGGTGTAATTGTCCCTGGAAGATGGTTTTTTGTGAAAACCTGCCTTACGTCTCTGCGTTTGGAGTTTGTTTGAGAGACACAGGTGTGCATTTCGAATAAAGTTCCCCAAACTGCAGTGCAGGCACACCGAGGGCACCGCAGCGGTGCCTCGCAAATGCTCGGAGCAGTGTCTAATCCTCGCCGACTTTTTCGCCATGGGCATCTCGGCAGATTTGGGCCTTTTGGATGCCTTTTGTGTGCTTTTATGCTTTGCATCAACGAGGAGCAATCCAACAAGTGCAAGAGCAGCAGGGTTTTGATACACAGAGACGACACCAACGCATTGAGAAGCGGAGGGTCATTCACCGCTCCAGTACTTGTAGAAAACAGAGCAGAGACTAAAGGAGCACTGCTAGCACTATCACAGATGGCGTGTTCTGAGAAGCGCGTGGTCCAACTCACATGTGAACCCTCCTCCGGCCCACTCTAGAATTCAATAGTATGCACATGCGCATGCACAGGAATGCCAGGTAAACGCGATGTTCATCCAGTGTTCATGTGTGGCGGTGAGGACTTGCGTTGCTTCACAATAGTGAACACATGAGGTTTCTCAGTGCAGATCTGGCCAGGAGGTATGGCAGAGCATAAGGTTTTCGGTTAACGTCGCGCCCTTGCTGCGTCAAACCCCCCGGCAAGCATGCGCAAACAACTTTGAGCATAAAGGGCTGGAGACCACCAAAAGTCAGTACCACAGTCCTACCACCCTTTCTTCCGAAGCCCTGAATTCCAGCACCTTTCAACTTGCTTGAAAGCCGTCGAAAGAGGCAGTGCCAAATGTGCCATATTTTGCAGTTACTGATAGCGAGAGATCACAACAGGCACGGCTGCCGGCTCTTGGATCGCGTTCTTTGATGTCGAGGCTGCTTCCAGGTCAGTTTCCATTCTCGAGAACATGGAGGGAGTACCCGGTCGTGTCCTGAAGCTGGACCCATGCGGTGGAAGGCCGCCCCATCCCGGAACCCCATGAGTCGGAATGGCACCGGCCAGGGCGGAGCTGCTTCGTGAGTAGAAAATGACAGGGGAACTTATGTGACAATGCTTTTGCTGACGTGCAGGTTGGCCTTGAGGAGAAGCTTCACATCCGCAAGTCCATGCCAGGGTAGAGAGCTCTATGTTCGGGTGTTCTTCTGCGACGAGGGAGAGGAATCTGCACATTGGTTTGGTGTAGCCAGCAAGCATGGGACATGTGCAGTTGGCGTCACTCCTGCGTGCGATCACTACACCATCGCGAACGGAACTTGCCCTGGCGCTCCCGGCAACACGCAAGATGCTCAATGGACAATGTCTTCTCGCATGCGACGAAGTCGTGGATGGCACATCTTCGAGTTTGCATTCGAGGAAAACAAGGTCAATGTTTCCATTGATGGCACAAGCGTTTTTGCCGGTATGCCCAAGGGAGCTCGGGAAGCAACAGAGGATCACTTGTGGATCATCGCGCAGAGTGGTGCTCCGACCCGATCGGTTCTTGTACGACTCTAGTTGCAGCATTGTTTCGGGTCGATAAGTGGTTAGCACGAATGTTGCAGTTGTTTTTGTCCGGTCTCTCATGTTAATTTTGGGAATTTCTACGAAGAATGAAAGCCTCCCGGACTTACACGGGCGAGAAGAGTCCAGCTGCAGGTGCTGCTTCTTCATGGGCAGCTTTGGAAGCGTTCCAAATACCCTCTGCTTGCATGCTTCCGAGTTGGCGACTTGGAAGAAAGCGCTGCCCACTGGAGACCAGCGGCGGACCTTGGGAAGTGAGGCCTATCAACACACGGTGTGCTTGCCACAGCGTTTGCAATTACCCGTGCAGCTCTGCACCGAACAAGCGGTCCTGTCGAGGGAACCAAGCTGTCGCCTGTTGTTGTTTTAGTGCCGGGAGATCACATGTTCTCCGCTCTGGTTCGGAAGCGACAATGCAACAAGAGGCAACAAGATGCCACAAGAGCCTGCACTGAGCCTACACTGAGCCTACATGGCCACCCTGGCAACACTGTTACCGCCCCAGGCCTCAATCCAGCAACCCAGCAAACACGCAAGCGCGTATGTTGGAAACAGCACTGGAAGCCTTGGGTCAGGCCAAAGGTCCTTATCCATTTCTAGTGTCGGAGGCCTTGGCTCTAGCCACTGCCTCCCAGAGCATGAGCAGCTTCTCAGCCCTAAACCTCCCCAGGGTGTATTGCAATGTCTGTGGGGTCTTGCAGCTCCATACACTCGGTAAACAGGAACGCATCTGCAAAATTCCTGGCAAAGAGCTCGAAAATACTGTCACCCCATCAGTTCATAAGTACTCGGATGCAATGAATGCAAAAACAGCGCTAAATGGGATTAAATGGGCTCATATTGGCCCACCTCGTGATTGCTTGCAACAACATATTCCCATCATGTCCGATCCATGCCTTCCTGGCAGATGTGAAGAACTTGGCCAATGGATGGACGACAATGGTCAGGTCTGGCGCATAGCTGCTTCAGAGAGCAATGCGGCACCTTGTCTATCTTTTTGCTGGAGCGTCTGGAGCGTGGTTATTCATTGTTGGTTTTAAGGGCATCGCAAAGGTATCTACACCAGTCGGCCGGTGCGCGTCTGCAGACACCTTGCTCGGAACCAAAGACTCAGCAGATGCTGCGTCTTCGCCGTCACGTACCAGTACGAACGGGAGGGAGCTGCAACAACGGCGGGCAGGCAAGTCACACCTGTGCTTGCCAAAGAAGGTCTCGCAAAATGAGATGATATCTAATCTCGAATTTGTTGTCCGGCAGCTTGGCCTCAGCCGGCACATTTTCACGCACAGAACGCCTGATGATCTGAATTCTTCGGTTTCTGCGGTCTGCTGTCACGTTCTCTCAGGTGCGGGGGTGGCTTCCTGAACAGCAAAGACTTTGCGAAACGATATGGTCGCATCGAGAGGTTCACTTCCCCACGTGCGCCGAGTCCACTCTGCAAGAGGCCGAGCTCGAAAGATGATACGATCCTTCGGCTTGCGCCTGCCTTAGAGTGGCCATATATTGCTATGAGCAGTCACGCCCATTGCGCCTGACTTTCTCGTTTGATCGGATCTTGGTTACACTTCGTCACCCGCGCCATACATGCTGGCCTTGGTAGCAGAACTGCCTTAAAAAAGCACGCACGCAAGCGCGGGCGGCCAGAGCACAAGATGCTGCGCAATGCTGTGCATCACAGTGAGCAGCAGCTTCGCCGAGGGGATGTTGTGAAACTTATGCACTTACAACACGAGCTTGGGTGTCCGCACACGGAATTCCCCTACCTAAAAGCTGCCCACGGCTTCCTATGTTAGAATAGTCTTACAATACTGTCAGGCCTGGAGGTGCCTTTGGCCCCCTGCTTTGGGACCACCATTCCTCGAAATCCTTGGAGCATGGCAATTCGTGGGATGTCCGGCCGATGAAAGTGCCACATAGTGGGACAGCTATATGGATCAATATGTCTGAGTAGGCATGTACACTACGCTGTTGCGCATTCAGGTCAGCATTCGCTCACACGGTTCTCTCCGACTGCGGGAGCTGCGTGCTTTGCGCGAAGGCCATGAGCTGCCAGAGCTGCCGCAGCTTTTGCTTGTGCCTGAAAAACCCCAAAGCAAGGTCGCTGCACGCTTCCCAGACCGACGACTGTAAACCGGCCGTCCACCTCATACTCCCACACTGACATCGGCCATGCTCGTGGCCTTGCCCGCTGTCATTGAGTCGCTGAAAGGTTTCTTGACTGCTGGGGTGCTACAAAACTAAGGCGCACCCTGAAGGGGCCAAGAGCGCCTGCCTGCCACCTTGAATAATTTTCACACGCCGAACGTGCACGATTGAATTCAATGCATGATTGTACAAGAGTCAATGTTGGCATCATGTTCCGTACGGGGTGCTGAGTTCCGCACCTCGGTCCTCGTGTTAGCTCTTTTGTACAGAAAGACAGAGAGACTATGCGTGGGCGAACGCGCTGTTGCCATGGATGAAGGAGCGCTGCATGCAAACAGGAAGAAAGAGAGCTTGAGAGCCCTTCGGGCCCACCCCCTCTGAGGAGCATGTGTGCTGGAAGGAAGGAAGAGCTTCAGACAGACACGAAAACGGAAGAAGAGATAGCACGTGAGCACAAATGTGTATATTTATTTGAAAATGCATATACGTGGCTTTTCGAGATGTAAATGCACATGTCTGTTTGTCTACCTATCTAATCCCATCTACCTATACATGACATTTTCTCCGTGATTTTTTGGTACAGAGCCTTGGATCGATGCTCCAGAATAAGTTCCGCGCGGTGGTTTTGCAAGCATGCGAAAGGGTTCACAGAACTATCTTCTCACGGTGTTTGCTGTGGTTGGCTGCTCTGTTGCCCTCCGCCTGCAGCGCATCGTCGACACCACGCCCCGTCTCACTACACGACAGGCCAGAAGCTTAATCGAGGCTCTTTTTCAGGTTTTTATGTACGAGCGCAAAGCACTTTTCGGAAACAATCGGATTGCAACAAACGGCTTTGCATTATTTTCTTCCACCACAAACGACATAGGCAATGCGGGTGCTGCCCTGAATCCTAACCCTACGCTCGCAAAATTGGCTGACTAAGTTCCATCGGACCATTTTAGGGACAAGATAAAATTTTCGATGTGAGATGTGGTATTGTTTGCAGTGCAACGGCTGCACGAGCTACGCGTACAATATGTGAGGCATGAAATTAAAAGCAAGACCGCCGCGGTGAATGCACAAATTCTTGCAACACCTCCGCCCAGGGGTCATCATGGGCGTTATAGGGTTTTTGGGGCATCGCAAGCCATCAGGTTTTATAAATCCAGCGCATGCTTTTCGGCTTGCCGCTTGGTCTGGCGCATGAGCAAGCAGCAAAAAGCATCGGAGCAAAAAAGTTGCATTGAAATCATTGTGCACTCGGGGAATCGTTTTGACCCCATGGGCAGCGGGCCTGAGTGCATCAGGTTCATTTCCCCGCCTTCTAGATTTAAGAAAGCAAGAGCGTGCTCAAGAAAGCAGGTCTTTGTGCAAGATTGACTGTTGTTGTACTGTTAGGATGTTTCCACGATGTTCCGTAGTTGCTGCCACGCATTCACGACCTGTGGCCCGAGAATTGAGTGAGGGTTGCAGTCATGAATGCTCGACGTAGCACTGGCCGACGCCTTTCACAAAGACTCAGGGCAGCCAAGCCAGCCGATCGTCAATGTCCAGTGCTGCACGCATACCAGAATTAGAGCAGCAAACGCAACCAAAACACGACAGTTGAAGCCGCTGTCATTTGTAGAGTCATGGGCAGCGCTGCCGGCGCCCAGAAAAGATTCGTCTACAAGAACAAACAAGGACAGCTGTGCCAGTGACGCTGACACGAGAAAAATCAATCCCCAGGTTGTCATGGGATGCTCAGCAGAAGACTTGCAGGAAAAGTTCGAGACAACCTGACGCTCCCAACTTTGGGTGATGCCAACCAAGCCTCAAGCAACATTGTGGCATCCGATGTAGTTGCTTTGCGATGAAGTGGCACTGGACGCTGTGCAGCATGTGCGATGACCTTTGCCACATCCGCTCATGAGGTAGCACCCCTGCACCGCCAGAGCTGGCTGAGGCTCAGGTTGCTGTTTTGCATTCATGGCAATTCCAGACGCAGCCTTTTCGAGTCTATTTTTTTCCTCGGAATCAGGCGCGTGGCAGCATTTCACCGCAGAGCGTGCGGCGTCACACGGTGCAGGATAGACAGCCTGCAGCCATGTGCTTCCATTACAAATATTGTTGCCACTCTATGCTCACGCTAATGTTAACCTGATATTATTAAATAACCCCCCCTCCCCCTTCCATTGATTCATTCCCCTCCCTGAGCCGGTCGGGCTCTAGTCTCTGGCTGCCATGCAGTCTCTGGCTTAGAGCTCTGAAATTAAATCCCGGGCCTGAGGTTTCTTAATTGAGGGAGGTTTATGATTGAGTTCCGGGCCAGGGGTTTCTTAATTCTTAATTGCGGGCGCGGGGTGTATAATTATGAGGTTAGCATGTCTACCAAAGCGCAAGTCACTCGACGAACAAGTGCACAGTAGACTCATGAGCACGTTGAAGCGGAGTTCTTTTGAGTGAGCAAGGCTGGGCACACCCTTGGCTTAACTTTGCGAAGACTGCAATAGGCGTCTGAGGGGGCCTGTGCAAAGAAAGCCATGGTCTAGTTGGGGACTTGCCTTGCCGTAGCAAGATTTACCGCCCCCCCCCCCCCCCCCCCAAGTACGCGCTTTTGCAAAGCTTCTCGAATCCATGCTTTGTGGTTTCCCGAATCTGCGTCTACCAGCTTCACGAATCCGTTTCTAATTTCACGGCTCTGCATTTTGCTTTTCCCGACACAGCGTTTGTACTGTCCTGAATCTCGAATCTGCATTTTGTCGTTTCCCGAATCGTGTTTTCCCAAGCACCGCACGGCCACTGGGGCTCTTACTTTCTTGTATGTCTATGGATTTTGCTTTTCGAACATGCACTGTCATCAGTTAAGCAGAGAAATGGCACCATCATATGTCTACCATTCTGGGCGAAGTATCACGAGGGTGTTGTTGGTCACAGAGACAAGATTGAGCAAGCAGTCTTGCAAGAGCCGACATACAGAAGGTATTGCACGACATCGCAAGCAGCGCTTCAATGTTTCGAGACAAACAACTAATTCAAGACAATGGATCCAGCGCGAGATCGTCCAGAGCACCTGCCACGCTTCCCGCAAGTTTCTGATAGTTTGATATAACTCTTCCCCCTCAGTTCTGCACTTTCTGCTTCCATGACACTGCCATTTGATTCCTTCCCAGAACCCCCTGACGATAAGCTTGCTGGTGCCCTTGAGCCAGCGGCCCAAAGTTCAAGAGCAATGGCCTCCTGCATCCTAACATGTCATTCCTGATCATATGAGGATTCTGCGGGCATGGGCCCAACAGTGTGGCACTCCGCAACCAGGGCGAGAGCACGATTTCAAGCACGGATGCACGGATGAAAAACGCACCACCGCACGGGATTGAGACGGGAGCCCTGTCCGATCTGTCCGAAGCTCAAAATGTGTGGACAGATCTATCAAGCCTACGCTTCACGAGGAGCTTGCAAGGGACCAAGACGGGAGCGCGACTCGTGGCGTTGGACCATGCCAAAAATGCACATGAATGTAGTGTGACTATGTGAATATATACACATTTATGTGTGGATGCATTTGTTTTTCAGTCTCTAAGATTCTAAAGAAAACGGAGCTCAGATCAAAAATCAATTGAGCAGGCAACGCCGGAAAAGACGGAAGCAAAAACCAATGTCAAGCTCTGGTCTTCGGTCTTTGAATGGGCTGAAGCACTTTTCCTTGACGGTCGTTCCAATACGTTCTGTTCAGTCCTTGACATCACATCGTCGCTGCTTAGTCGAGGATGTGAAGCAGAGGCTTCTCGAAACCGGCTTGAGGCACGTGCTGTAAGGCTTTGTTGCTGCAACTGAAGGTGTTGTTGGTAGATTTCCTATGTCAGCGCTACAGTTGTCACGACGCGGGCTGCAGGCAAGACGAAGTTGATGTTGCCTTGCTGCGTGTGGCAGCATCCATGATACAGGACTGCCTGCACTCACACAAGCAAGTAGACATTCCCCTCTGCATATGGTTCAATATGACTGCCACAAAAAGTACTATGACAAGGATGCTGGCGTGGCAGCCCAGGCCATCTCCTTGATCATGCAGTAGTTCATGGCTCGGTTTCGACTATTCTCGACTGCTGTGCCAGGCAGCCCAGGCGCTGCGAAGGGCAAGCACCTCCGAGCAGTCTCAGGACCTCAGGCCCTGTACTAAACCTCAAATTCTGCGTGGAACTGCTCGTCAAGACGGGAAGGCACGTCTAATTTGTGTATGTAAGCCCATGTCAGGCAAGCTCGGTGCTATGCATAGCCCCAATGCCAACGTGACAAGTTTTCCGTCCGCAGAATTTCTGGAACGAATCAATATCTTGATGCAGTCGGTGCGCACACTTGTCCGCATAGGTTTCATGGACGATAAGGCGCCACGGTTTTCTCGAGGAATCTTGCAATCTTTTGGAGACCAAACAAGCTTGTGCAGCAACGGTGGCGTAAGCATGTGCTTGACTATGGGGCTTGCGGCAACGATTTCGCAAATGATCTAGCAGCCCGCAATGCTGGCCGCCCTTGCGACCAATTGTGTTTGAACCACCCGATGCATCTGGGCTTTGGGGGCTAAAATCTCGGTGCGCGATTGCTTCTTTGGACAACTCAGCATGCATGCGCAGTCCACTCCGGCTTCTGCTCCCGGTTTACCTCGCAGGGTGGCTCACTGCCTCCCGATGCCATGCTTGTAAGATGCTGGTTGCCAGCCTCCCATTCACGAGGTCCATAGGCTATTCAATCCGTCAAGTGGTCTTCTCCTGAGTTGCGCTGTTGTTGCAACAGCTTAAGGCTTAAACTTGGCTTCAACCGTTCACACTCACGCTCTTCACCTTTAGCATGTTGTGGTTCAAAGGGTTCAAAGCTTTCAACACTTCATGATGGCTGTGCTGTCAGAGCTTCATCGGGCCGTTTTGTTTAAGCATGTTCCGTGCTTAGATTCAGAAAGTTCAAAATGTTCATCGCAACCTCTGCCCAAACCTGTTGCTTTGGCGGAGGACATGGGTCTCATGGATGCGTCCGAGATCTTGAACTGCATAGAGGACCTGCAACTGCATCCTGTGCCCTTCAAGCCAGAGTGCGGTGGCCGAAAACACGGGCACATCTGGAAGTTCGCAATGGAAAGGCTGAGCGCAAGAGTCAGCCTTCAGGGTGTTGGAGACCAGCGATGGCTTGAGTTCCCGTCGAACCATGAACAGCGAGGGGCGGACTCTGCAGCACATCAATGTTCCGATAAGACTGGACACAAATCCCAGGAGCAAGCAGGCGTCCTGCCGAAGATCACGATGCCAGCCGGCAGCCAAAACAGGCTCACGGTGGCACGTGGTTCGATGCGCATGATGCGCGTTTCTCTTTTGCAATTGTTTCCCGCATCTTTGTGCGTGAGGCAAGGCAAAGGCTTTGCCACATGGATGGAGCGATGCGAAGCGCTCCTCGAGGAACAAGACGAGGCCAACTACTTGGCCAAGAAACAGCAGCTTGGGTGCCTTTGAAGCTGCCGTGCACGTTTGTGACGTTCTAAACATTTGATAACATTTGGTTGTCCGCTGCTGTCCCTCTTGAGGTTAGCAGCTCAAGTCAGAGCCTATCTTTCAAACTGCGCCGAAACGCATGAAAAGGAGCAGCTCTTTATGCGCCGGAGGGCCTCTCGGCCTGCACCGATGTGAATGTGCGCATCAATTCGGCTGGCGACATCTGCAAGAATGGGCTACGTTGCGAAGCTTGTGCCGGAGTGGGCACAGCCCAGACTGTCAGAAGCCAGCCAGGGTTCTTGAACTCTTCTTGGTTGCTGCAGACTCTCGCACTTGCTGGAACATGCTGGGACTGATTCCAGGTAGGTGAGATGCTTGGCGACGAGTGTCTCGGCGAAATTCCCGTCTTCCGCAGAGACTTGTAATTCCTACTTTGGGTCCAAACAGGCAGGTAGGGGTCCTGAAGCAAACCGTCAAGGCCATGCACGATAACTTATGATTATTTATGATTCATATGTGATTGAAATTATGGTCAACTAGATACCCTCTTCTGTGGTCGTGCTCTACAGATACCGGAGCCTGGGCCAGACATGGCCAGACATGTCAGGCTCGGAAGGTATGAGGACCGAGCTCCGTCAAAGTTCAGCAGCATAGCCACGCCCACTCCGAAGTCGCAACGCGGAGAAGAGGAGGATGAAGATGAGGACGAGGCAGGAACTACTGGACATGTACATTGGACATGACTAGGGCATGCTTGTCACATCAAGCGCAGGAGTTGCAGATTGAGGACCTGCAGCGAAAGACGCTCCTTCGAACATACCTAGACGTACTGCACCGTACTGCATCGTACAGTTCGTACAGTTCGGACAGTTCGGTTTGCGCAGGACTCCTGGAACTCTGCCATGGTCAGAGCAAAAAGTGTTTTTTGTCTGCACATCTGTGACATGTCCGGCTTCGCGAATCATGCGAATCCGAATGTGATGGTTCTCGCTTTGAGGTGAAACCTGCAGTCAAGAAAGAACGAGCGGAAGGGCTAGACATGACAGCCGACGAACTGTTCCAAAAGCCACTTCGAAGCATCATGACGCATCCACAGCTGAGAGCTGATGTAAAGCTCAGACTAAGATTTCACTCTGCGCGTGCGACTCAGGCTCCTTGCACGAAAATCCCGGATGCCAATCTCAAAGAGGCCGGGACTGCGGAGTCCTCTCATGACAAGGGTGACTCAGATGATGCACGTTAACCACGTTAACAGTTCGAAAGCACCAGCTGGGGTTCGGGGGCTTCCGCTTCGTGAGATGGATCCTGCCGCTTCTGGGGCTAGCCCCCAACAACCCCCTGATCGGCCTTAAGCCGAAGAGGATAGCTTCTACAGGGGGTCGAAAGCAGCGGAAATCCTGATAATGAAATCCAGCACCAGTTCTTGTGCCAGAATGCATCAACATCCAAGTGCGCACGCTATCTCCGACCATCGATGGCATAAGATATCACCAGCTCACAGTTTCTGCGAGGTACGTGCACAGGTGTCTGGACAAGTTTGTGCAGGCAAAGGATGTTGAAGTGTGAAGTGGCCTTTGGGTCCAACTGACTCCAATTCGTCTCTTTGGATCCTGGCAGGCTTGGACAGACAGGTACGGCAGGCAGGGCTGAATGAAAGAGCGTGAAGAGTGTGAACGCATGGTGTGGGGGCATATGTAATATGTAGATGGCAAGGATGAGCAAGCCCACCCGAGAGTTGGACTCAACAAGCAACCTTTGACCCAAAGTTGCAACAAGCGACGACCACGAAATTCACTTACACAAGCTCATGCCGAAATATGCCGAAATCATTCTTGTGTGTGTGTATGATTTTCGCACTGTGCAAAGGTACTGCAGGGCATCGCTGAGAGCAGCAGAACCTACACTGCCTGCTTCCAGGTATGCATCTTTGCTACCTGACGTGGAAGTTCCTTTTGGGGGACAGACCGTGGTTGTAGGCCAGCCTTTCCGGCACCCAGCAGGATCAAACACACATGCTGTCAACTCAAGTCTTACACGATACAAATGCTGGATGCACGCGCCAGGTGACACACACGGCCAGCTTGAAGATGTCCTAACCATCTTCCTTGCGCACGGCACACCCTCCAATCGCAACAGGCTCGGCAGAGCCAGGTTTCAGATGGAACCGCCCGCCGCTGGTAGCATCGTCGTGAGATGCCTGCCAGGTATATCTTCAATGGTGACATTGCAGACCGAGGCCATGTGCATGCAGCTGCCGATAGCTGCTAGCTACTGCTAGTACGCATGTGTGCCTTGGCCCCGCTGTCAAAAGAAACTGCTAAGTTGAGCGTCAAGCACTTGTAAGCGCTTTGCCGGCCAGGTCCAAATGCATGCGAGATCTTTTTGCTTCTCTTTGCTTTCTTCATCGAGGATCCAGACAGCGTGGTTATCATTCGTGGCAATCATGAGGACAGCTGTGCGATGTACCAGGGGCTGAGCAATTCTGGAGCGTCTCTGGAGAGTGGAGAAGGCCACTCCAGCTTTTGAAGGCATGCAGCCCAGCACTGCGAACAGCACAGTGCACATTAGGTCTTGAGCTCAGTGCCCCCACGATGCATCAGTGCACCCAACAGTGCCTTCTGAGCGTCACACGTACACTCACATACCTCACCCTGCTCCATTTGGCACGAAAGGCAGTGCCCGCCGGTTGCTTGGGGTCCAAACCACTACTTTAAGCGTCGAATCTGCGCCTCAAAGAAGATCTGATGCGAGGATGAAGAGATGAACAAGCTTACTAGTGAAGAGGGCGGCGGCTTCCATGATGAAGTTCTGAAGAAGTACACCGGTGGTTGCTTGACTGCAACCATTTCTGACAAGGACAGCAAGCATGACATGCAAATAGCAGCTGACCCGTAGGCATGCACAACAACCGTTATGCTGTTCTGTCCACTCATCAGACATCGATGAAGCTGCCAGGTGTGTTCATGAAGTTCGAGGCAATTTACAAAATGTTTCCGCTTGCCGCGGTTGTGCAACAGGATCGGCCGGTCAGGGGTTTCGTACACATGCGGTTGTGTCAGTTCAAAGCAATGCAAAACATGCCGCTCGCTTACGTCCAAAGAGAATGGGGCCAGAATTGCCATTCGGAACAGGAGCTCTTCATCGTGCACGGAGGATTAGCTGCGCACTCAGTTGGCCCTTGGCCATCGCTCTCCAGCGATCTACTTGAACAGACCTCATGCCTCCACTGTGGATTGCTTCTGGCACCAGGCCCGCAATGCCAAGTCAAATCTGAGTCTTCCCTTCGTTCGTGACATTGACGCTGGAGTCGTCAGCTGCCCACACGGAGGCCAATCACCACGCAGCATATATATGTGCGTCCACACGATAACAAGACAAGATTGATGCGTGATGGTCCTGGTAGCGCAGGCTGCTATCCATTGTGCCTTGAAGAGCAGGCTCGCGAAATGTTCACAGTGCACACAGAGCCATTTTCATGTTGAATCAGGGGGTCCATGTTGTACTGGAATAGGTGACGGTGACGTGGTTCCAAAATGTAAATAGCTACAGAAAGCTGCATGTGCTGATAGTAGTTTTGAGAAACTGTTGACCTTTGACTCGACCCGTCTTACATGCCGAGTGCTTTCTGTCACTTTTTTGACCGGTTCCTGGCGAACTGATTTCCCGCAGCCTATCGAACTTGCGTCATGGCGGAAGCTTGCCAGTGATCTTCCGGCCCAGGCCGACCTGGCTAGGTGAAGGTTGGCAACAGAATGCTCCCGGTCCCAGGCGGTCCAACAAGCTCAACATTGACTCAACGTGCTACAGCACTTCCCACCTATAGTCTGCGAAAATGTCGGAGATGCACCGGCCATGGATTCTCTGCCGAGTCTGTTGTCCCACTGCTTCCTTGCAACAGTCTCCCAAAAGCTGCACCAAGCACGGGCCTGTCGGGTTGCCAGATTTCAAAACAGCGTTGAGAGAAGACCACACAATGGCTGCACATAGTCACCCCGGTGCCGCTTATTTCACTTCACTTGGCTGCATGATTTAACTTCACGGCCATTGGCTTCATGCGGGGTCATGGCTGAGTCATGTTTGAGGGCCAAATTGCGCCTGTCTGCGAAGGTGTTCCAGGATCTTCTGTGGTCTGATCCCCAGGAAAAGCTGGGTTGGGAGGCCAACCCAAGAGGTGCTGGCATCAAGCCAGGGTCTCAGGAAGACGCGCTGAGAGGCTCTTGGGAAGTCTGTACATTGAGGAAAAAGGAGAGTCAGTCATGGAGAGGATTCGAGGATATTGACATCGGAGGGTGCGCATGTTCTGCGAGCTGCCCATGCTTCCGTGTGGCTTCGTTGCGAGGTGGGGGCCTGATCTCACTGCGGCATTCCTGAAGCGAACAGGCGCGCCTCAGACATCATGGGAGCTAGTGACAGCTAGTGTTTGGAGAAGATCTGTTAAAGTCAATCTTGGCTCACAGGATTGAAGTGGATCATTCGGTCACACCAGCTGCCGGAGGACAGATCTGTTTGCACTGCATGTATAGTTTGTGTTATTCCAACGTAAGCAAAGGCCGGTTTCTGAAACAGCAGGAAAGAGTTGTGCCGAAGGGGTCACGGTGCACGAAAGGAGCGCGATGGTACAAAAGCAGCCCCGCGCGGGAATTCCTTGAATTTCACCTTAACCGATTTTGATGCAAGTTCTTTGTTTCTGTACGGATGCAGAGTGCTTGTTGGGGTGGTAGACGCGACAGCACGCCACGAGGGTGGGGTGTGGCATCCTGATTCTTCCCGGAGAGCTGTTCACGAGTTCCCTTCCATATCCTGCATAAAAAAACAACCTCTGCGTACAACTTAGCACGAATGAAGCTGTAGGCGACAGTGGCGGCAGTCCACTCATGTCTGCAGTCCCGCCCCAGCAAGCAAGCATCAGTCATGAGGGTGGGAGCTGGGAAGTATTGGGAAGTCCTGCCCTGCACGCACAAGTACCGTGACTCATCGAGCGGAGGCTTGGGCTCGAGCTTGGAACGAGCTTGCACAGTCATGGCTGTTTGCCTCCACCCTGCGGAAAGCCATGAAGCATGAATGAAGGGAAGATCCACCCACTCTTTTGTCTAGCATCGCTGAGCGCTTGTTGTGCTGATGTTTGCTCAGAGAATGTTCCTGACCTGACGGCAGGACAAGCGCGGCTTCAGCACACACCATTTGGGCCTTGTCTACACCCTGTTCAGTGCCAGCAACTACTGCGGGACTTCAGGAAACAAGGCTGAGCAACGAAAGCTGAGAATTGTTTCAAACGACTTCACGTCCTCAGAAACTTCTCGTCTTCGTTTGTCCATCTGGGCCGATGTGTTTGGCTGCTTTCAGGGCGCCGTTTGCTTGCTGGAGCTTCGCCCCAGCAGCACCATCAGCAATGAGGATGGCTGCTGCCTGGCCGCCCGCTTCGAGGACACCCGGCAACGACAAGCCACGTATTCCGTATTCCATACAATATATTCAAGTCCATATGTTTGCATGCAATATGCACAATTCCCGCATATTATCTCACATTTCTCGATGGCAACCAACTTGCAGCGCTACTGTGAGCCCGGCCACAGGTTGAGAAACACAAATGCTGTGTTTTGCGGCCGTCCAAACTGCTGTCCTAGAATGTGCGGCTCAGACTTTTTAGAATGGCAAACCACGCCGCTGGTGAGAAGAGGAAGTTCCTGTTGTTCTATGTACGTGGCACGGTGTAAGCAATGCCGACGGCAATGTCCAACTCCCCCCTCTGACCATGAAGGGAGCTGTTTAGAAATGTTTTTGTGGAGGTTCCGGGAGCAGTTGCGAGGGGTAAAGAAGGGTTGACGAAGCCAGCTCTCATGAAGCCAGCGTGCTTCCAACAAATTCGGCAGAAACATCCGAGAAATCGATTGGTCCTCGTCTTCCGTGAATCTGAGCCTTTGGCCTGGCGTCGGCTGAGCCACAGCTGTTTGTGTGACCATGATTATTACACAGCTTGAATCGGAAGTCAAAGTCCGGCATCCAACTCCAGAACTACATGCGGAGCTAACTTTTTTTACCATGGTTATGTTTACGTTGTCGCGATTACGATTAATGCAGATGAGTTGAAGGATGAGAGGTTGGCTTAGCTCGGGGCTAGAGGTTTCGGGTCACGGGTGTGGATAGAGGGGTGATCTTGAGGCTTAACGATGCTGGCCCACATCTCTGTGAACAGCTGGCAGAAGCAGAGTCCCCCTGAATACCTCCCACAACTTTCCTTCTGCTGTCTCATGCCATCGTAGTGCGGGTTCCTGGCTGATCACAAAGATCTCATGACGGGAACACCATATACGCCAATCCTAGTAGAACAAGGCATGGATGTGTTCGATTGCCCTTGTGCAGGCCTTCTGTGCCCAATGGCTTAAGGATCTGTTAGGTAGGCCGCCGCACCATGCTTGCATGAGCTGTTGTGGAATTTCGCGACGCCTGTTCTATCATGCCGCCCTGCGGGAAGTTCACACGTCCTGACACCAGCCTGTCCGAGGATGCAACTACCCTGCTCTTCAAACTCACTGAGAAGCTTTCAGAGCGTGAGTTTCTGGATAAGATAGATGAGCTGTGTGGATTCTCTGGGGCCGTCCGGCCTTATGATTTCGTTCATTTGCCTTGGCAGAAGCTGGCCGTTGTGAACTTCACCGACCCGGCAGACTGCAAGAGATGTTTCGAGGTCATCAGAGGGCTGGAAGACTCCGAAGACTCCCGTGCTTGCATTTGTGATGTGCGCGAGGCCGCACAGCAGGGCTTGGCTGCAAACCTGGCCTTTGTTCTTGCAAAATCCAGCCAGATGAGCCATTATGCCACCATACCACTCGTACGTGTCGATGGTGAGCTGGTGCCTTTGGATTCTGCTGGGCCACTACTAGCTCCTTGGTTGTCCAAACAAGATGGTGCCATGATTAGATAGTCAAGTCGCCAAAGTTGTGATGTTTTTCACAGCATGAAGAAGAGACAACAGGGGCGCTGTACCGGGCTCAGTCTGCATCACAGCCGGGCCTTTCTTTTGGAACACAGATGCCAGGCTTTCGCCAGTCCTGGCACAAGCGTCCCAGAATAATTTCTGCAAGCTCATGATTCGTTCAGGGTAAGAGTTCCTGTGGCCATTGAGGTGCACCCAGAGTCTCTGGAGACAATGTTGCCCGCAAGTCAACAGCCGAGCCACCGAGACTCCGGAGGAGGCGTGCATGCAGATCCCCAAAGGCAGGTACCAAATCTTTGGGACTTCGTTGTTGACGCTCAGTCGATTTACGTTGCTTTCAGGGATGTAAATGAGCCTGTGCGTTGCAACAGATTGCAACTGGTCGCCCTGAATAGATAGCCAAGAATGCTTGATGCATTGCTCATGACCGGCAGTCAGCGCGTGCAAATTGAGGACGTGAGGGGCTCCACCATTGTTTTTGAGCTGTGAGCCGAAGGCGGCCATGATGCTGACGCAAATGAAACTTGAGAACCTACAACATGGGTTGTGCCGAAATCTCGGCCGGCCCAGCATTTTCGGCCTGGCCACCTGCCGGGACTGTCAGGCCCGAAAAATACTGTTCCGGTGTGTACAAATCACCTTTTCCATCAGAGCGTTGCATATGCGCGCAGGAGATGGAGAAGATACGTTATACGTCAAGCCTTTTCGTTTTCCTCGGGCATGCCGGGAAGTACTCCTCGGCATGTTCTGGTAGGATTGCACCTTTGGGTAGGGACTCGTGGGCATCTGCGATCGTTGAGGTACACACCGTAAGCATCTCCATTGGGCCGGGGAGGGGCTGAGTCGACCTGTAGCCGAAACCTTAGGAGGCGAAGACGCATTCCGAAGCCGCATTGAGTGAAGACGCACTGACAAGCGAAGACGCATTACAAAACTCGCCTTGCGAAGCCGCATTGGGAGATAAGGCCGGCAGGTGCAAACGGATTGCGAAGCTGCATTTAGGGCGTCTACTTGGCTATCCGTCTTTGCCTCACGGTGCCTCGAAGCAGCTTCCACAAGAACTGCGTGCTCGATTCTCCTCGACCACCGAGACCGCCCCCCCGGGTTTGCCAAGAATTGGCGGTCATTCGTGCAGTCCCGAAGCTTCTTTTCCAGGGAAGCTTCTTTCTGGTTCCACGTCTCTGTAAGCCTGTTTAGACTGTTTAGATGGCAGTGAATATTTGTGGGAGCTGCTTCAACAGCCGGCGTCCTTATAGGAATGCAACATGTGCAGCGGAAGACGCGCATCACCCAACAGGAGCAAAACTAGCGAGTATGAATTCAACCCAAAACAAGCCGGCGTCACCCCGCAATGCGGCTTCAGACCATGTGGGGTGACAATGCGGCGTCACCTACAGCAATGCAGCCTCACTGGCTCGGCTTCGGTTTCAGGCCGTTTCAACCCCACTCCCCGGGAACCCTGCTTCACGTTGCAGCTATTGTGTGATTTGTTGGGGACACCCTCGGCACATGCCACATGTCGGCAAAGCAGATGATTCCAGAAATATGCCGGGAAAGAGCCCAATCTTAATTACTTTGGGCAAGGCAGTACTATCCGACGAGCCCCCACCATCCCCCAAAGCAACAAACATACGAATTCAAGCTTGCACAGTCGCTGCAGCCAAGACACGCTGAAGATCGTCGGCGGTCGGCTGGGCAAAACCAGAGAAAGGCAGACAAAAGTGATCGGGCGTGCAAGGCCTTGGAAGTCGGAAGATGTCGGAAGTGCTTTGGCCTTTCCTTGCTTCGAGTGGTTGAGCCCACGGATGTGAGGAGCACTACGCTCCGGCATTAGAGCAAGGCAAGCCTCGACCTCAGCTTCACCTCGCGGACAAGTCCGTTTCACACAGCTGCTTCAAGAACGGGTACTAAGCGTCGCTGGAAGATGTTGGACTTCATCCCTTTCAGGTTGAAGGAGATTGCAGAGCTTCCTGACATTGGTGCACGAAAAGCAGCCCCGACCCAGCACTTAAAGACTTGGCATAGTTTGCGCAGTCTGTTTTGTCTAGGACCTGGGGCAGAGGTTCCGAAGCCCTGCAATAGCATAGGCCTTGGAGGAAGCAGGGGCTGCCCGCGCATCGGAGGACAATCGTGAAACAGCATGACGCAGCTAAACCACTTCCCAGAGCCAAAGCGCTTAGGTGGGCAATTCTAAGTCTAAACGTAGCGGTAGCGGTGGCCGAGCAGTGGCAGCTGAAGTTTGATCTTGAAGACTTGGACACGTTGGGGGACATCGAGATGTTTTGACCATGATGAAGACATTGTTGCGAGGACATCCAAAAGGTCGGCCAGCGACAGGCCGGAAGTGGACCATACAGCTGTGGAGTTCCCCACCCTTGGTGTGGGGTTGTTAGATTTTGCACTCCACTTTCTCCTCACCGGGAACTCTTCTCCTCGCCCGGTCTACTCCTCGCTCATCCCTGGAGATCCTGGAGTGCCCAACCCCAGACTGTCCCTGGAGTGCCCAGCCCCAGAGTGTGCCTGGGTGTCCCTGGAGTGCCCAACCCCAGAGTATCTCTACTAGGAGAGGGTAAAAAAGTTCCAAGTAAAATAATTTGTTTGTATTTGTCTCTTGTGGCGACTAGTTATGATTCTGCAAAATTATGCTAGGGTGCAGGATGAGACGTGATGCTACATACTGTATTTGAGGGATGGGATGGTTCCAGTCCAGACGTGCTCCCTCATGCATGCAACTGCCCCCTCTCGCTTGAGTTTTGCGAAGTAATGCCTGCAGCTTCGTGGCAGATTCGCTGCGAAGCACAGATTTGTTGCCACAGGAGCGCGCAATTCTTCATCGTATGGCTGGGAGAGTCGTCGAACTTCGACCAGAGCTTTGGGAGCCCCTGCAGCACCTTTGCACCATCCTTTCGATTCACACCCGCTGTCACATGCCGCGAGTACGATCTCCTTCCTTCCCTGCCTTTGTCCCTCCCTCCTCGGCATCACCATCTCTCCCGCCTCCTCCCCCCTTCCCTCACCCCCCCGCCCGCCTCCCCCTCCCTTGTCCCTCCCTCCTTCCCTCCCTCCCACAAAAGCTCTACATTACACGCGTAAGATTGCCTGGCGGACTGCATAAGCAAAAATGAAACGTTGAAAATAGCCGAGTTGTAAACGCGCAAGACACATGCGCAGGAGGATTTTCGCAAGTGCGATGACAAGCGCACTGGCAAAGCTGCTTGGCCATACACAGGTACCGAAAGATTGTTACGTGAACGCGGCTCGAAATCGGCATCATGTTGCTCGCTGCCAAGGTCACCTTTGCGTCGTGGTGTGACATACTGACATCCGTTTGTGGCGAGCTGCCGGGCTGCAACAGCTGCGAAAAGGCAAGAAGCAGGAAGAAACTCTCGACATGAGTGCTGACCGCGCACGTAGCACCGCATCATTGCACACACGTGCAGCATAATTGACAAGCAGCGTACAAGCACCTATGCTCGCTCAGGAACTTTCCATGGTCCATGGGCGGCGAGCTGTGGGGCATCATAGAAGTGGACTGGGGGCGAGTTCATGCAGCACACAGAGATTGACCCTTCCACTCCCTTCACTTGAGTCGCACGTCTTCGAAGTACTCCCTTGTCTGGCTGCAGTTGAGTCGGGCAGTGCATGGGCTTTCTCTGGTCTGGACTGTTGTCTTGCGCCTCCCTCCCAGAGCGGGCCAAACTGCCTGTAGCCGAAGATGCGTTCTGGTTTGGTCAAATTCAGAAGGCACTCGTCCCTAGGAGTTGCATTGGAGAGGAAGACGTGGACACCTGGTAAACGAATCAATATGGCTGTCTTTTCAGTGCGGACCCAAACAAGAAACTTTGTCGCCCGCAAACGTACACCTGCAGGACGACGAGGAGGAGCAGGCTGAGCAGACACACAGTCCCAAAGGACGGGGAGCGATGCAACAGTTCTCGGCAGTTCTCCAAGCTTTGGTGTCCACATATTCCCATCTTTGGTCAGCATGCTTCGGGAATGAAAGGTGACAAATTGAGAGAAAGATTAAGAGAGTCGCCGGGTTTGTAAATTGCGCTTTTGCAGTGATGATGCACTGCAGAACTTCATGATGCTAGTACACTGGACCTCGCTGATCAGCATGCTAAGTCGTCCATGCCCCATGCATGTTTAATGTGAAGTGGGCCTGATGAATCGGGCCAGCATGCGGGACATGAGGTTGAAGAGCCATGATGATAAGGTCCAAGATCATGTGCGTGTGGAAGGGCGACCAAATCATGAGAGTAGCAGGTCAACTAACTTGTCGAGGCATCAGCGACAAGCAGCATGGGCTAGAATGGAATCACATGGAGTCTCCTCCACGGGACTTTTCACGCGACCTTGCAATTGCCGTCGCCCCATTCTCGTTTTGACAGGAAAACGGCATGTCGACTATCGACGTTTTCTACACCGCTTCGACGTAGGCGTCAACAAAGAGAAATGGGCACCTCAATCGGAAGAGTTACATATGCCGATTGAACTTCGCAGGAGGCTATGACACTTGTTGCAGCTGAGGTGGGTTGGAAGACCATCCTTATGAAGGATGCCTATGAGGCTTTATATTGTCAGCTGCCGGAATTAGAAGACTGCCGTTTGGCACGTTTGCACAGTTCAGCTGTCGTGCTTGCCCCGTTAGCCCATTGGGGCACAGGGAACACACCTTACTTAGGTCGAGATTCTGACCTGATGCTTTGGCTGATTACGGCTGTCTATGGTGTGACACCTTTCGCGCACATTCGCGCAGAAGAAGTTGGTGTTCAATGCCGGTGTCAGGAGAGTAGTTTCGCACAAAAAGCAAAAGAACGTTTCGTGTTTGGTGTCACTCGCTTGAGTGGGACTCGGACTGCGAAGGGTTTCAGGGCCCGTCAAGCTTGATTCAAAGGCCAGCTTGGGTTGGCAGGACTCGCTGACACTGCAAATTTCTTACAGTTGCGTTCTGTTGCAAACCCTCCACCCGAGGAAAGCAACATTGGCTCTTTTTGATCCAGAACAAACTGGCAAAGTCAGCGTGCAGAATTTCTTGCTCCCAGATGCAGTTTAACAGGCCGTCTAAAGACTGTCACAGGTCTGGTGCTTTCCTACGCATGAATTACGCATGGTCTCCACGATGTTGTGGTCTAGCATAGCGGAGCCGAGGAAGGTACTCCAGAGCGAAGTGGAAGTCGAGCCTTGGTAGCAGCGACTTTTTGTTGCAGATCCTGCTGCAGCATGCTGTGGACACAGAACTATTGCTGGATCTGTGCGAATCAGCATGCCCTCTGCGATGCGCCTCGCGTTATGGCATCCTGCCTACTTTGCCAACCAAAGTTCTCCTGCATGTGTGTCGAGGACGACAGCCCTGGCCAGCGGACATCACATGTGCTCAGCACGTCTCAGCTGCAGTCTTTGGCACACGGGCTTTTCCCAGCCGAAGATGAAGGCGCCAAGCGTTTCTCATTGCACTTCAAAACGCCGTGACATGTGGAACGTGGCAATAACCAGCACTGGTGACAGCTTAGAGCCTGCTTTCCCTCACTGCATCGTACAGGTCGAGGCCCAATCCTTCCCCAAGCCACAAGCCATGTCTCCATTTTCTCCTGCGGTCGATCCATCGACATGTGGGTGGTGAAGACGTTGGGAGTGAGCACAGGGATCATTACGATCGAAAAAAGTGGTCACGCTTTCGGAGAAGGTCTATCTGAGAAGCCCCAATCCCAGTCCAGTGAGCGAACCTCTCCCATTCAGAAGAGCTTGCATCAGAGATCAGAGTACGTCCTGTTATCGGTGAGACACTGTCATACACTCATCCTCAGATGAGCGACCGTCAAAATTAGCGTTGGTTAGCTTGAGTAAGGGACGGACATCAGTTCATGGTTTGGTGGCTTTTGACCTGCAGAACGGTAGGGGACACACAGAAAACGAACCCCAACAGGATGATAAAAATATGCGATGTAGGGACTTAGTATGAAATTAGCGGAAGAGCGTTTTAACTTGCGGAACGATATATGGGACACGCAAAAAAATATAACCCCAACATCCATGCCGTTGAGCTTAACAAGAAATATTCACCGCTGCTCAGATGAAGATGCTCCAGCCGAGCTGAGCGTGCACGAGTTCTTCGAAAGGTTTACAGCAGCTTAAACGCAGTTGCTCGCGTGCACTCGGCACAGAAGCCTGCACAGTTACTTAAGCGAGCAACGTGTGCATTGACTCGCACGTGCGCGCCCACTGCTGGGAATGCGTCCACACCTTGCAAGACAGATTGGTTTGGACTGCCATCTTCCGTTTTCTTCATGATCTCTCAGGTAATTTACCGACAGGCCAAAGCTATGACAGGCCTGCATCCGATGCTGTGATACCTGCACTTTAAACATGATTTGTGTTTCAGGCGTTTTAGGTCTTAGGTCTTCGCCATTCTTCTGCATGGAGCGAACACATGTTTGACTGTTTGACATCATCGATCAAAGCTGTGTCTTCAGGTGACGATCCCCTGGCCGAGTGGAGGGATGCGCTGAACCACATTGGTCATCTGCTTCTTAAGAGGGACCGCCTGTCCAACCAGCCAGGCATTACTCGAGCGGCTTGCCTCACTTCTGCAAGTCATCGGCAGCTGTTTCGAGTTTGTGCGTCGACCGTATTCGACAGCAGCGCACATGCTGGTATTGACAGTGTAAGTAGTACAGTGTTTCCGGCACGTGCGTACCAGTGCTATGCTTCAGGGGGCCTCTTCTCAAATTTGCTGGGTGTTTGTTGTTTTCTTCGTTTTACATTTTGGGGACCTCCCCCTGCTTCTGCCCCAGCTTGCATGTTTGCATTCGCCCATGTCAACTTGTTTGACGCCTCTGGTTTCACAGACATGCTTTCCGCCTCCCCGGCTTCAATCGTCCTTGCGTCCCTCGCATCCCCACGTCCGGCCCCTTCGCATCCTGCGTGTCGAGTCCCTCGCATCCCCCCTCCGATCCCGTGTCCCGCCTGGCGTCCTCCGATGTCCTCCGTGCCCCACATCACCCCCCGCCCGCATTGCATCCAGTGGCCAGAGCATCATGAGCATCCATGCGGGTGCTAAGAAAGTGCACGTTGGATGTGCATCCAGTGGACAAAGCACCCATGCCCGCATGATAAGAGCGAACGTATTACCCAGCTCACAGTTGTCACCAAACTCGTCCCCCGCGTCCCGCCCCGCGTCCCGGGCTGCCAGGCACTCCATTCCCGTACACTTATGCCAGAACAAGTAAACGAGCGGACATGAAGTAGGCGCAAAAGACACCTGGACAACTATGTCATAAAATTATGCCGAATCATTCAGTGAGTTTCTTGTTGCCTTGTGCTGCACGTCTTGCAAGGGCTATGTACTGCCAACATTTCTGAGTCGGCTGCCCCGAGCAAAGCGAGTGCAGGCTAGTCTGACATCCTGTGCTAAGTCGTCTCTGTCCTACACATTGAGAGCAGCCTTTCTCAAGGTAAAAACTGGCGCCAGCGTGCACTCACGCAAGACCGTTTTTCAGGTGCAACGCTTGCAACCTGGCTTGCAACGATCTGGTCTTAAACACTTCGGACCAGGCGCTACAAGGTAGGGCAAATGTCGCTTCATGCAAGCATGCCTGCATATGCCAGCCAACATGATGCTTTCACTAAGGGCCCACCAGTTTGAGAAAGGCGACGAGTCTGGGGATGGACTGCTCACTCGGGCCGAGCTGGTGGACTATCTCAAAGGAGACCGAAGAAATGTGTGCAGATCTGTGCGAAAAAACAGTGCAAGAAGGGTGTACAAACACGGCGACAGACCTTTCCGATGATTGATCAAAGTTTATTCAGGCGCTGTCAAGCGCTTTCAACGCTAATTCAAGCGCTGTCAAGCGCACAAATTCTTTGATGCGAAAGCCGAAGCACGTTCAGGACTGGAGGGAATCGACGGCGTGATGCACAAGGGCCACATCATCAGTGATGCTGGCAAAGCTTGCTGCAACGGGAACTGCAGCAGGCCCATGCAGAGCATGTGCACGTGCCAGGCGACGCAGACTTAGAGGACATGGCGCTGCAGCTCGACCAGCTCAGTGGCCGTGAAACTGGCCAGGTTGTGGCCTCAGATTGGTCGCATCGTGACAGCACCTCCAGTCATATTAGACAGCTTCCGGATCATGGAAGCCACTGGAAGCCTGGAGGTCAACTGGTTCAGCTTCCTCGAGGACGGACTCTTCGGAACAGCATCCACTTGAACGTATACAACAATGTGTACAACAACAGGGCTTAGAAATGCTTAGAACGACTCCTCAGCTTGAGGCCTTCATCGTCGAGCGGCCATCTGGGCAGGCCATCTGTGCACTGAGCCATGCAGAAGCACCTCGTTGTTAGATTCTGTTAGAGTTTGCTGATGCCGTAAGCGGCTTGATTCCACAGGCAACTGATTTAAATTTGAAGGCTGCTAGGCGCCTGGAGCTGTAGGCAAAGGGCTTTCTGTAGCAATCAAACGAATGAAATCGAAAATCAAGAATCAAAACTAAGCATTTTATCTACTGATCTATTGATTTAGGCATCCCATACAGGGGGGGGAGGGGGGGGCGCGGATCCCGTTCACTGACCCATTTCTGGTTACGAGCTCCCGCTCCTCAGAGCTTGCACAAGACATCGGAGGAGTACATGGATCAAGCAGAAAATCTGAAACTGGCCTACGAATCAGCAACTGCGAATCAGAAACGGCGGGGTGGTGGGGGGGGGGGGGTTAATTGCAGGTTGCCAACATATGAAAGTCTAACGAGAGAATACTCCACGCCTCGGAAGTGATGGGGGCCGGGGGTGGGGGGTCGGGGGAGGGTTTAGGGCTTGAAAGTTTAAGGTTTAGGCTTCTGGGTAAATAGCGTTTAGAAGTGCCGCCTATACCTCAGGATGCCCCTATCCCAAGTCCTTTTGAGTCCTGGACACAGGCTTAAAAGAGAAAGAAGAACATCAGGGTTTAGGGTTAGGGTTCAACTGAGGTGCCCTCTCTAGGCACGAGTAAAGACTTTCCGAATTGAGCTTTTGCCGTTTTGCAGTTTCAAAGTGATGGCTTTCCCGGTTTCCGAATAACCCGTTACATCGTCCGTTTCCCAGTTGCTGATTCAGCCATCTTGCAGTTTCCGAATCAGCCGTTTGCCGGTTTCCGAACCAGCCGTTTGCCGGTTTCCGAATCAGCCGTTTTCCGGTTTCCGAACAAGCCATTAGGCAGTTTCCGAACCATCCCTTTCCTGGTTTCCGATTCCCCCGTTCCGGTTTCCCATTCAGCCGTCCTGGTTTCTGATTCAGCCGTTCTGGTTACCGATTCAGGCCTGGTTTCCGATTTTCCCCTGCTGGTTTCCGCATCAGGTCTGTTTTCCGATTCAACCGTTCTGGTTGCCGATTCGGCCGTTCTGGGGTGTTCTATTGTCGTCGACCGATTGCAGGCATGTAAGGCGCGAGGCATTGCGCAACCATGTGCTGCATTGTCAGGACTTCGATGCAGCTGAGGAGTTCATGTGCGAACACATCCTGAGCTTCTTGTGCCCCACATGGCCGGCATCCGGAGTGATAGGTCCCCAGTGCCACCAGAAATCTTTCTGCGAAGGTACCGGCACAGGCATGCAGTTTGCTGCGGCTGCCATGAGGCGCAGAACTCTTGGGCACCCAATCAGTACAGTAAGACTCAGCTTTCTGCAGCAAAGGCCAAGCTTCGGAAGTGAAAAGCCATGAGGAACCAGTTTGGCCCTTTAAGCTTCAATGACTTGAGGCTTTGGTGTCTGAAGCTCTGAGCCATGAAATCGAATGGGTGGGGGTCTAGGGGGCCTGCATGGTGCTCACACGCAGACGGGCGCAGATGCGGGCATCCTGCTAGGGGACCAACTTTCAGGGATTGGGGGTAGGGCTCAAATGAGGGTGAGGGGTGAGGGGTTGGAGGCATACACTGCAGCCAACGAGGGCAGGAAAGGGGGGGGGGGGGGGCACGGATTGGGGTTGAGGGCGAGGGCAGGCTAAGGTTTGGGCATACACTAAAAGCCAACACTGAGAAGGGGCAGAAAGAGGGGCGCGCTGGATTGGGATTGAGGGTGCGGGGAGACGGGGGGGAGGGGGGGGGGAGGGGTGTGCGGGGGGCAGCAGTGAGGGCATGCACTGGAGCCCCTCATTTTCAGGTAAGGGTTGCGGGTAAGGTTGGGGGTCCAGCTTAAGGGTGACTCACTGGGGGGGGGGGGTGGTGGGGGAGCGGGGAGCAAGGGCAGTGGTAAGGGCGGCATGCACTCTGGGGAGACGGTGAGAGGACACGGTGGGGCCGGGGGGGAGGGTGGCAGGGGGCTGGATCGCGGTAAGGGGTGAAGAGGACATTATGGGTCTTCACTGACACCGCCCCGTTGCTCGGGTCGGCGTGTGTATATATATATATATATGGGACGCTGTAGGAGTGCACTTTTTTCTATTTGTTCGAAGATATTTCAAAAACACTCTCACAATCACGAGTCATGCACAACATGCAAGTGCGCCAACCCAAAGCAGCGATACGGTGAATGTCCTGCCCCCGTTCTCAAAATAAATGGGCCAGCTTTATTGGAATCCTAGAAACAACAATAGGAATCCTCTATTTAAATCCGTGGGAACCCTATTTTCAATTAATCGGAGCCGTAAAGTCAATAGGAAGCCTCTTAAAATGAGTTGGAGGCCTCTCACAAAAAAATGGGAATCCTCGTAGAATGAATAGGAATCCTGTTAAACTGAAGAGGAACCCTACTACAATTAATACGAACCAATCGGACTCCTATAAAAAATAATGTGAACCCTTAGAAAAACAATAAGGGTTCTACTAAAATGAACATGAGCCTAAACCAATAGGAACCCCTTTAAAGGGAATGAGATCCCTATTAATATTCCCATTAACATGAACAAGAATCTGATTAATTAAAATTGATGGGAATCTTATTACATGAGTAGGAGCCTTATTAAAATAATTTGGAACCCTATGAAACTTTATTGGGATCTTATGAAACTGAATAGGAATCCTCTATTGAATTATCGGAACCGGAGAACAGTTAATAGGACGGAAGCCTATTAAAATGAATAGGAACCCTTGACAAATCACAAAGAACCCGGGTTACAATTCACAGGAATCCTATTAAAACGAGAAGGAATCTTACTAAAATGAATAGGAACCAATAGGCCTGAAAAACAATAGAATCCTTGTACAAGAACTAATAGGAATCCTACTAAACTCATATGAGCCTGAGCCTAATCCTTAAAATCAATTAAAACCCTTTGCGAATCCCAGAAACATGAAGAAGAACCCTGTTTAAATTGATAGGAACCTTATTAAATTGGTAGGAGCCTTAGGGCGTGATGTCTTAGAATATGTTGCTAAGGTACAGTGTTTAGTATAGATATTAGGTTTTGCATATTGGGGGATGATTGCTTGAGACATCCTAGCTAAGGTATAGTTTTTAGGATAGATGGCATGCCTTGCGTATTGGGGCGTGATTGATTATATGGAGGTTTTGGTACTCTCTCGAGATTTTGCAGGATTCGAGTTTGTTTTTTGGTACCTCCTCGAGAAATGGTGGCTGGGAGAGAGCCTCAGATCACGAAATTCATGGAAAACATTGGTTCTACCAATGTTGTTGAAGGATGGAGCCGAAAAACATTGGTAAAACCGACGTTTTCCAAAAACCCATGGTTTTCAAACCATGTGGCTGCGAGCTCGAAATTCATGGAGAACATTGGTTTTACTATTTTTTTTGAAGGATGGAGCCGAAAAACATCGGTAAAGCCAGTGCTTTCCAAAACATTCATGCTTTTCAAACCATGTGGCTGGGAGCACGAAATTCATCGATAATATATCAATGTTGTTTAAATTTGTGCAAAGCAGGACCTCGAGAGAATTTTGTCACGTCTCTCGCTCGCAAGCATCAGGACATGTCGTTCATCGCCCACCAGATGAGAGAAACACATAATGCCGTGTGCTTGATTGTCCATGTTAGTGCTTTTGTCACGTACAAAAGGGCACTCAGAAGTGTAAAAACACACAAAACGCAAATACCAAAAACAACTGTACAAAAAAAACGTACAAAAATGAAATAACACCAGAAAGCCTAAAGCAAACCCAAAAAACACCCTGCAGAAGACACCGAAACACCGTACAAAAGAAAACAATTCAGCAAAATCTCCAATAATACACAAAAATCCTCAAAAAATCAAAAAAAAATCCTGAGAGACTCTTCCCAGGGTCCGGCTCCCCAACAGAGTCCCTCAGGATTGGTTTGTTTGTTTTTTTTGTTTCTTTTTTGCTTTCCGTTTTTTGTTTTTTGTAGAGTTTTTGTGTAGTAATTATTGTTGCACGTTTTTCGTGTGGTTTTAAGGGTTTTTTAGAGTTTTGCGTGATTTTTTGTGAAAAAGTGCTCTCCCACAGCGTCCCATTTTCTATACATATGTATATATATATATATATGCTAACCCCTTTCCCCGGGTTATCCACGCTTTTTTGTGGTTATCCACGCTTTTTGTGGTTGCGAGCCAGTTAAATCGTTCACGGGCCGCGGTGACCCCTGAACTCCCCCCCCAAAAAAAAAACAATCTTCTACATAACGTAAATGTATGCAATCCTTGAGATGTTGAGTCCTCTCCATCTGTCCAAACACTGGGCAGAGCGACCTCCTCCCCTCCCTTCCGCTCCGCTGCGCTCCCTGGTTTTTGTAAATGCTTTTTCTTTCCGGGGCTATCTCTAAAACCATATCGGTGAAGGTTTAAGTCTTATAAAAAGAGACGCCCCGAAGCCCTATAGGGTTTAAGGCTTAAAGCCGATAGGGTTTTGGATTAAACCTGAAACCTGAGCCTTTAGATCCATAGGGTTTCAAGGTTAAGCAATCACACCTAAACCCTTAACCTTTAAATCCTTTAAATCCTATAGGGTTAATAGGTTTGAAGATTTAAGATCTAGGTATTTAAACCTAAGCCCATAGAGTTTAACCCTTAAGGGTTTACGATTTATGCATCTAAACCTGAACCCTTTCGGGTCAAGACCCTGAAAGCCTATAGGGCTCTAAAAGCCTCAAAAGTTTTAACCCCAAAGGCGATGAAGGTATACATGCCCAGACCTTAGGTTTTTGAGCCTTTAAACCCCATAAAGTCTAAGGTTTTAGGGCTTTTCAAGGTTTATCTCTAAAGCCCTCACGGGGTTAGCCCTATAGGGTTTGAACCCTCTAGGCCTATAGGGTTCAACAGTTTAGGGCTTAAGGTTTAGGCATTGCCTATAGGATTAAAGCATGAAAAACCCTATATGGCTACAGGCGTAAATCCCTAAACCCAAAATCCCATATGGTTATGCCTCTGTTTTTAGGGCTTGGTGGAAATGCAAAGAATAAGCAGGTATCAGGTTCAAAGGTTTAGGGGTCTTCAAGGTTTATAAGCCCATAGAGTTTAAACAATAAGGGCTTACGGTTTAGGCATTTAAATCTAAATCCTAAGCTCTTTAGGGTCAGAACCCTGAAAGCCTATGGGGCTCTAAAAGCCTCAAAAGTATTAACCCTATAGGCGCTGAGGCTTTACATGCCCAGACCTTAGGTCTTTAAACCTTTCAACCCCATAAAGTTTAACGGTTCAGGATTTTTCAAGGTTTATCTCTAATACCCTCAAGGGGTTAGCCCTTTAGAGTTCAAACCCTATAGGCCTAGAGGGTTCAAAGGTTTAAGGTGGAGGCATTACCTATAGGATTAGAACCTTATAGCCCTGTGTACGACTCACCTTTACGTACTATTTGATGGTTCTGTTTCCCCTTTCAAAGTTTTAAGGATTTTAAAGAATTTCAAAGGATCCTACAATTCTTTAAAAGCCTCAAACTCCTTAAGATTTTAAAAGGCCTCTGGTTCTCAAAATTTTAAGGAATGTAAAAGGCCACTTAAATATTTCAAACTCCGCAAAATCTTGAAAGTGTTAAATTATTCTGGGAAAGGCCCGGCCCGTTTGAGTTTTTTAAAATCCGTAAATTCCTGAAATCCTTGAAATTTTGAGACAAAATAGCTATTTGGGAAAAGGCCCGGCCCATTTAAATTTTCTAAAGCCCTTGAAACCCTTAAACTTGTCGAGACACACGGGCCGGTACAAGCCGGTACACAACCGTACAAGTTGTACCCGCCCCACCCCTAAAACCAAGAACCAAGAACCAAGATTGCAGGGAGGTTTTGCCCTGCAATCTTGGTTCTTGGTTCTTGGTTCTATGGGGCCGGTACAACTTGTACCGATTTGTACCGGTTTGTACCGGCCGTATGTTTCGACAACATAGAGACCGGTACAAATCGGTACAAATCGGTACAAGTTGTACCGGCCCCATGGAACCAAGAACCAAGATTGCAGGGCAAGACCTCCCCGCAATCTTGGTTCTTGGTTCCAGGGGCCGGGGCCGGTACAACTTGTACCGATTTGTACCGGTTTGTACCGGTCTCTACTGGTGCATAAGAAGCATATAAATAGATAAGCAACCAGATAGAAAGAAAGCAAGCAGAAATCAACATGCTGGGACAAAGAAAACCCATCACGAACGAAAAACAGAAACACGCAGTGCCCGAACAAGAAAAACACAAAATAAGCAGAAATGCGTGGATAACTGGGGGGGTACCATATATATATATATACATATATATATATATATGTATGTATGTGTATATGTATATGCATATGTATACGTATATGTACATATACATATACACATACATATACATATGCATATACATATACATATATACATACTCTGCGCGCGTTTATTCTGTTCAAACCCCAGCATCCAGGCAGACTCATCGCTTACGGGCCGCATAAGCTCTGGCGCGTTTGCAGAGGCAGGGCAATTCATACAACGTCGCTTCCCTTGGCTGGCGTGTACAAAACTTGTAGCTGACATGCGCGTAAGCATGAAAGGCTAGTGCCAAACCTTCCTTCTCAGGAGTTCAGAAGGATTCAAGAGGAGTGCCTCGATTCTACCGAAGTTCTGATCCCTCTGGTTGAAGACAGTAAAGTGGGTTCTGATAAGATGTAATACCACTTCAAACTATTGGAAGAGAAGGTCGCTTTAGTAGGAACACATTTACAGGAACACGGGCCTTCCTGCCTGACATGCAGGGGCTGCTAGCACATCATCGAAACGTAAATTTTACTGCGCTAGGACATGATAGGTACTCAGGCGTACTGGAATGGGAACCTTCTGACACGCAGGTGTGGACAGCCGACTTGCAAAAGCCACGGCATCAGATCCACTACGCCGATGGTGAATACAGGCGTAGGCCATAGAATTTAGTAACTAAAGAGAAGTAAAGAGAAAAATTAGATAAATAGAATTGCAAGCCACGATCGCCGTTATGATCGCCGTTCAAGAAGAAACCGGACATCTAAAGCTGACTTGACAATGCAAGAGAGCTCCAGCGTTTGTCCAGTTTTTTCAAGGCCACATTCTCTGACATACCCAACAGCAGCAGCACTCAGAATAGGGTTTCTGACAGTTCTGGTCGAAGTCCAGTGGCTGGCAGATTTGGCATGACTCGACGAAACTACACTGCGCTGCAAGCCCCGAAGCCGAATGCACATATGCTTTCACAAAGAGCAACTCGAAAAGATCGAAAACATGAGGCAATGCCTGGCTGGGGCACTGCATGGCACACCCCACCATAAACGCGACAAGCTGGTGTTGATTCAGCACATCGAGAACCCATGGCAAACAACCAAATGTTAGATAGTCATGCTTGTCCGATTATTAAGCAACACAAGCGTTTTCTACCAGTTATACTGCACTTGCCAACGCCCGCGGTTCCGAAAGGGCTTGCAGCTTGTGCAAAGAATCTTGCAGGTCCTCAGAGGCATTGACATATCTTTGGCGAAGCAGCGTAGAACATTCAGTGATGTTCAGATCGATGGGCTGGCAGCCGCTTGGCAACAAAGCTGAAAGAATGTGCCCCACTTCAGCTGAAGCGGTGCATCTTTTGGTACAGCTGACAATCCATGACAATCCAGGAATCACTTGGTGAGGAAGATGGAAGTTTTTCGTATTTTGAGCCGCCGCCTCAGCTCCGGTGTCCAGAGAACTCGGTGCAAATTGGGCTGTCGTGCTTGTTTTGTGCATGCTGTTTGCATGCTCGTGGCCTGGTGCACGTGCCGCCCAACGATTTTGTTGATTGAAGGTTGTTTTCACGTATCCGGCTATCCTGTGTGCTCAAGAAGTCAGATGGGAAGCAGCTGTCAGTACAACACACTGCCGCTGAAACCGTCTCAACAGAAGCTCCGAAGTGCCAGGTTATTGCAGGCTCTCATGGTCAGAGACGCTGAGAAAAGCGGCTCGCAGCTCTTGCAGTGAAACGTTTCACCTAGCAAAGACGGCGGGGCAGGGATTAGAAACTGGAAGACAGGTTGACACAACAGATCGGGTTTGCCATCCTGCTCCGCTCATGATGGTAGCGCCCATGGCTGCAGAGCTTGCACCACTCCGTCATGGTTTCACCGAAGCTGCTACAAGTGCGGTTCGTTTTTTAACCATGCCCCTGAGACTGCCCTTGCCACTGTGCAAGGTAGCAGGAACCATGGATATCGGCATGCATTATGAGGCAGTTTCCTAACATTCTGCAAAATCCAGCTACCTGGCAGCTTTGTATAGCAGAGTCGCAGGCGTATCAGGCAAAGGAAAGCCTCCGTCAACTGCAGTGCTGACACGCCAATTTTGTACAGAGGCAGATCCAAAGATTTTGAACCCGTGGGCGCGCGTAAGCATTCTCACGGTGGTTTTGCATGGTGCGGCCGTCTGTCCGCGTGCAATTAGCATCCGTGCGTACTTCAGTTTTCACGGGCAATGTTGCTGAAACTGGGCAACCAACAAGTGATTTGAATGATTCCTGTCTTATGTGCCATCCACCGCGCTTTGTTTGCCCATCCAAAGTTGATTCGGCTAAGCGGTTCACAGACAGATGTGTTGCTTTGGAGGCGGGCCTATGCAGAATGCATGGGCCCTCCGGGTAAAGTTCAGCTACAAGTCGTGGTAAAGCGACGCTAGGGCTTGCAAGCCTTGTCAGTCGATGGGTTCGATGGGGTGCAAAAGAGTCGAGACATGTTGACTTGAGAATCGACATGCGCTCGGCTGTCAGAGAGCTCCCATAGCACGTGCTCTGCCTCACCAAGAACCGGGTGGGCAAACGCACTCAGCAACAAACATGCAGCACGTTTGCCTTTTTCCTCGTTTGCTGCATTTCGGCTTTGGTCCAAAGCCACAAAGATTCACAAAGCACTTGCTGCAGGATAGCCTAACAAATCCTAGTTCGACTGAAGTATCCGGCGGCGCTCGCCTTTGGAATCATAGAAGCTCAGAAAGCTCAAGAAACTCAACTAAGGGATCGAAGTGCTGAGGTACTTCGTATTCCGCCCATGCGGCGGCGCAGCCGTTCACCACAACCAGGACGGCGGCCTGTGTACCGAGGTGACCAAGGTGAGTCGCTGCCTCCGCCCCCGCCTCCTTTTCAAAGCAGTTCTGGGCTTCAGAGGCGGCATGATTCGGAACGAGCTCCCCGTAGCGGCGCCAAGTCGTTCCGCGCAACGCCTCGGCAATATGCCGGAACATCCGGAACCTCTCCAACCTTAGACAAGGTCAGGGAGTTTTTGGCCGAGGCTGGCTTTGACAACCACATGCCAGAGCGATCTAGGCAAGAAGTACCACTTCAATCTGGAGCCCCTTCCAGAAGTCGTAACTCTCACAGAGCTCCAGAGCGTGGGAGCGTGCAACCAGCAAATCGCACAAAACAAAGCAACAGACTGCCAGATCCCCCGCCAGCTCCACCACTTCCCCCAGCTTCAAAGCCATCCCGCGCTCCGTTGGCTCCACCTCCCCCTCCAGCCCCACCAGCCCCTCCAGCCCCTCCAAGTTTGCCAAGCAAGGCATCCCGAGATTCCCGAGCATGGGGTGAACACCCACTGCCCTCCAGGCGTTCCCGCAGCGACAGCAGAGAGCGCGACAGTCGTGCCGCACCTCCGGCGCCGCCACCTGTCCCTGGAAGACGCTGGTATGAAGACACGACCGGCACGACCGGCAGCAGCAACAGATATCTGCCAGAACCTCCGCGGGTCCCAGATTCAAGGCCACAAAGGCCGCCATCACCCAAATCGGATGTGTGGGACAGCTGGCATTCCGAATACGGAGATGGGTATGATTCACGGTATGACTACTGGGACGTCCCAGATCGTCGATATCACGGTCGCTTCGACATCTGCTCACGTAGTTCAGAGGAGTCCGAGGACGAAGGCGACGAGCCATGGGCAGACATCCCGCAGCCCCCATGTGTGCCCTACAATCTGCCTCCGCCTCCTCAAGTCCCGCAAGGATGGAGCGGCAAAGGATCTTCAAAGAACATGTCTCGCAAGAGAGCTGCTTTCTTCCCGAGCCAATGGTTTTGCCATGTTTGTAACAAGGACTTCTGGAACCAAGAGAAGTACAACAACCATGTGGATGACGAGCATATACCATGCCCAGAGGATGGCTGCAACTTCTCCGGCCCGGAGCATGTCATGATGGTGCATAAGCTGAAGCATGTGAAAGCAGCGGACGGCTCGAACGTGACGGACTCACCGGAAGAGCTCACAGCATGGAGGGAGATGCGAAAGGCCAATTTCCCCAGCAGAGGCAATCTACAGAAGAAGATGGAGCTAGAGGAGAAGAGGCGCTTGTCCGGCGCACTTCCAGATCCTCCGAAGCTCAGCATGCTGGAGAAGCTCTTGCGTCGTACACATGGCATGCATGGCATGGAGAAAGGAAAAGGCAAAGGGAAAGGAAAGAAAGGCAAGTTCAAAGGCAAAGGCAAGGAGTACAAAGGCAAGGAGTTCAAAGGAGATGGGAAATCAAAGGGCAAAAAAGGAAAAGGCAAGGCCAAGGGAAAGGGCAAGCGGATGACATGGAGCATGAGCATGAGTGAAGAGCCTGTAGAAGAAAAGGTTCATCCGACGCAATTCTTGTGTTTGCCGTCCGTTGTGGCGAATTGTGTCCCGTTGGAGTCACCATTTGGTAGCTCCCACTGCCAGGGACGCAGCCAAGCATATGAAAGTCGCAATGGGAAGCTGGGAATTTGTCGCTACTTTGAGCGAGGATTTTGTTATCATGGGGCAGCATGCCTATATGAGCACATCGGGGGTCCCCCGCAAGTTCAAGCATCAGACATTGCAACCACTGCTTGGTGGGTGTTGCCCTCGACGCTTGCGAACAGAGCAGGTCGACCAGGTGAAGGGCCTGCCGGTGGCGTATTCGGCCCACTGCGCGCGCGTCAGGTGCGAGCTACCCATGTTGAACCATACCGGGCACCAGACGACCGCGAGCGGCGGGATGGCCTCCTCAGGCGGCTGCTGCAACCGGATGTTGACCGATACTACTCTGCCATCCTTCAATGCGTACGCTACATCGTGGCTACTGACTTCTTGCAGCTCGAAAGGCCTAAACTGCCGAGCAACGTGCCAAGCCTGCCCATCCAACAAGCTTCTGTCACTTCGGAGACAATCAAAGTCCCCGAAGCAAGCGCGGACCTCGGGGCGGAAATGGATGATTCGGAATGATTCGGATGTGTGGATGATTTGGAGCTTAGGCAGTCTGAGCAAGTTGACAGAACAAGAGCAAAAAGGCGTTTTTGAGAGCATGGTCGGATGTGGGCACACTATGGCATACTAAGATTATAGGCCATGCACGATACAAGGCGGCAGTAATCCTGTTGCCAAGCCCCACCCCGCTTGGGAACGCTTTGCTTCCCTTGTTGCATTTGTCCTTGTTGCATTTCTCTAACAAAGGAGCTGCCTGAATTATGTGGCATCAGACATAAAGAATGAACATCCTCTGGAGGTGTCATTGAGTCTTGAAGCCCGTGCTCTCTCTCTCTCTCCCTCCCTCTCGCTTTCTTCGGCACGTCCTTTTGAACATGTCACATCATGCCTGTAGTAGCAGGATCCAGATATACGTGTACATCGATATAGTGGCACATTTGGATAAAGTAGGATCCTCCTGCCAGCATTGCGACTTCTTCCAACGGCACAATACCCAGGCCCAAGAAAGCATGTTGATTGCCATGGCACCCCCCATACTGAGTTAAGACCTGCAGGCACCATACTCATGCCGAAAAGTTAAAAAAATATGGCGAGGAGTGAGATGGGGTTGTCTCTTTCCGAGTTAACCCTACGGACACAACAGTCATGCCCCGGACAATATATATTGCGACCGATGGAGGGGCAGACAGGTTAAGATGAGACACTCTGTACAAACTGCAGACACAATGCAAAGTGTTCATGTGCAAGAAATGAAATCGGGGGGCAAGTGGATTAGAATCAAGGAGACTCTCTGCATACTCATGTTTCCGACGGGGGAGGGCGGGGAGGCAAAAGGATTCAGATGAGACGCTCTCCGCACTAAGTTGTTAAGCGCAGGCCGCAACAATACTCTGCCCAAGAGAATGGAAAGTTACCGGCGCGGGTCGCAAACGAATCAAGATCAGATCTAGGACAGTTTCAGGCGGGCAGTTTCACTTTTTCTTATGAAAGTCCTATACAAGGCTTACAAAAACCTCAAGCTGCAGCAGCCCTAGTAGGAACACTTTTGTACAGACCGCCTGCTGCTCCAAATATGGTGCAGGGATTCTACTTTTATCTTGTAGAAGTTGGCATCGAAGAGCGTTCGCACGTCGGAAGCTTACTTTGGGCGTCGCGATGTCATGTACTTCAACTTGTAGTACAAGAATGACTGAAGCATCGCTGTCCGCTGGGTGTTGTGAGTTTTGGGAGCCCACACGCACTCACAACGGCAGAAACATTCACACTGGGGCGACGCATGTCCTGGCAGAGTGGCGTGTGATAAAGTTAAATCCCCTCATTGGACAGATAGGAATATGCTGGTAGCGGCATTGTCTACACGTACATGACTCGCTGACGCAGCCTTGAGGCCCTGAAGAGTCGAACAACTTGTGTGGCAGTGGTAGATAGAGATCATGGTTTGCTCATGCATACCAGCACATTCTAAAGCAACAACATGCAACAACAAGTAGTTTCAGAGCCGCGTTTTCCATCGGATGCCATGGATCGTTCGCCGCAGGTTCGCGCTTATGCGCATGTAACGTTTTGCTGAACAACTCGTAGAACATGTACGTAAAGCTGGTGGAGCAGAGGTTCCGTACAGATGCTTGGTTCCGTTGGATGCTGTGCAAGAATCTTAGTTACTGGACAGATGTTGAGAGTTGATTTCTGGAAGATGCATCAATCACTTGCTTTTGAGGTCCTTCCTCATTGGTAAAGGCGGCGCAACCATCCGGTCATGCGCTCGTTGCTCGAGCTTGCCCGAGCACCGGCAACAAATCCAGTGCAGCGGCGATCAGGCAAATGGGCGACGTGTCTGGTGCCTCCATTTCGATATCCAAGGCCCCACTTTACATATTCAAAAGGCGTTGACGTTGCAACAGGCTGGCCTCGTTTTCCCTGTTTCCTTTGAGGAGGGTGAAACTCCCAAGACACTGGCCGACAAGATCGTGATTATAAATGGTCGAAGCCCCAAGTCTCAAGGGTCCGTAAGAGTCCATCTGCGTGCAAAGTCTGTAAACGTTTGTAAACACCTCACACCTGCTGAGGCATTCGGGGGGCCAAGGATGCAGCCTGCAGGGAGGTCCGAGTGAAGCAATTTAGTAGCTTGCCCATAACTACTCACGGTGGGTGGACAGGTGGTGCGAAAACTTCGACAAATGCAGGGCGCATGGAACTCGGAGAAGCCCATAAGAGGGCGGCCACCACAACGCATTTCAGATGCATGTTTTAAATTCTTTTCTTGAGGTTGAGGAAATGGAGCCAGGAGTCTTCGTCATCATCATCCCACAGGTCTCGGCACCAGTCCGGGCGCCATATTGCATCAACTTGCACAGGGGTTTGCTTATGCATGTTCAAATATCGTTTGCTTTAAGGTTGTCATTGGCTCAAAGGGAGCACAGATCAAAGCCATCATGGAACAATCAGGCCTTGGACACATGCGCTTTGCTAGCTTGCCTCAATTTTACTGCCTGGCCGTGGCTTCTGCGGAGGTGCAGAAATCAATGTCGGGCGCGAGGTGATCGTTTCGGTTTCCATTGTGGTTTTTGCAGGCAGATTGGTGGACATGGCCAGGCTATAATCGGCACGCCGGACCAGCCAATTAGCGTTAACGGCACTGTCGAACAGGCCAGCCTTGTGCCCGAAAGATAGCATGTGCTGGAATTCCGCATGGCTGTGCATCCTGCGCGAATGAAAAGGTGGTTTCGGCGGTTTCCGGCATCAACAGCGTGCTGCAGGAGAGCAACAATCCTTAAGCTTCCATACTGTTCTGTTGCAAGTGGTCGGTCATGGTCGGTAAGAGTTTTTGGAGTACACATGGAACGTGATGGAATTTGGGGCTCCGACTCATCAAGGTAAATTTCAAAGCCACTTTCGACTGTTTCAAACCAAAGCGTTCACTTGTGGCTCAAGGCCTTGAAGGTGGTTTTAAAGTTCAGGGGCTGTACATGCACACAGAAATGAACCCATTGTCAAGTGTTTTTGTTTGTCACAGAAATCACACCACGCCAAGTTTCAGCCCTTCAGGACATGGTGGACCGCGGAAAACTGGATGTCCATAGGGACTTCCAACTTCAACCAGCCAGTGATGCAGGCCACAGCAGTCACCGCCCTTGTTGCCGGTAAGCTCCGATACCGCCTTGCCAGCATCCACAGATGGGAGCAACGATCCCGCGCAAGACCGGCTAGGGAAGGACTGTGCAAGGCCAAACACCTTCAGCTTCATTGCTAAGGTGGTTGGCTCAGCCACGCGACAGCTCGTTAATAATCAGAAAGACACAACATCACGTGAAATTTCACGTTGGCTCGTCCAACCATCGACTCTGCATCATCCACCGCCTTACCTGGCTTTCAATCCTAGAAGCCCGGGATTAACGGCACCCCTGCGAAAAAGCCTGTGAACACACCAGCATCAGCCAACCGAAAGGAGTGCAGCAGCGGAGACCAGATAGTCTCTCAGATAGTGCTTGCGAGGAGCAACGAAAAAAGCAATCGACAAGTCGTCCAGCACCACCCCGCACGGGGAGTACTGCATTCCACCTGCGTGCATGGGGTCCTTGGACAATAAGTGCAGACTGAGTGCAGAGACAGACATTATGGACCAAGACAACACTGCGTGGAAAGTTGGATGCTTCGAACAGCCACTTGCACTCCATCAAAACGCACTGAGGCTCACCTGGACCCTCACTCGGACACCACTCGAGGGGAAGATGTGACCAACTTGGCGTCCTTGCAACAACGAACCAACGTCAGACCAGAGCCATGAGCCCAATCCACGACTCGAAAGAACCGTGAAAAACGGGCCTCGGAAGCAAAACTCCTTTGCTCTCTCTGGAACTCCTTGAAGACAGACCAAAAGAAGACTCGCCAACATGGTCCGCAGCACCGCTCGAGAGCTGACCATGTTCAATCCGAGACACTAGCCGGCTCGGCAACCACAACGAAGCGCCTCGACAGCCATGGCCCACAGCTAGCTGAGCACCAGCAAAGACACGCTGGCATGCATCAAGCAAGTCTCGTTGCAAGTAAACAAACTTGTGGGGGTGAGAGGGGTTCGCTGTGTCCTTGAGCTTGAAGGTGTGGTGCCCAAGATTTCCGTTCGTGCTACAAGTACTACAATTCGGGCGAAGCTTCTGCGAGCTTCGCAGCGGCAACTGCACAGGTGAGTGGGCAACCGGAAGCCCATGTCCCTTGAACGAAAAAATGATTAGGGTGTCTACTGGACTGCAGCATGGCCCTCCTCAGTCTCGCATCGCATAATGGATGCAGTGTGCGCTAAGTATGTTCGGGGAGCGGCCCTCCCGAGAGAGTTTGTCGGGGAACTTGCCGCTGCCTTCGCGGCGCACGGCACTGCACCGGTCCATCAAGCAATGCGACTAGCAAGCACAACAAAGCTGATGGATGGAGTTATCAATGAAGCCAGAATTTATTTATCAACCGCCCACATTGGCAAAGTTTCTGTCATGTCAGGTGGAGAGCGGCCTGTGGATGCTGGCTACGTGCCTGCGCAACCAGCGCAGCCTCCGGCAGCGCCAGCGGCCCCAGCGGCCCCACCCGCTGCAGCGCCGGTGAAATCCGACGCAGCGCCGCCGAGCATGGGCCCAGCGGGCGGCAATGGCAGCACGGGCTTCAGCACAGGCTTACAAGGCAGGTCGGGTTTGGAATGGTTTGGACCACTTCGGCCGCCTTCGCATTCATGGCGTTCATTTGACCTGTGCTTGTCGGTTGTTTCCACACCGTTTCGGCAAGGAGCATGCGCTGCAAAACCTAGCCTAGGAGCCAAGAGCGCTAGGCTTGTCTGAGGGCTGCGAGTGGCAACGAAGCACAACCACAAGCAGCTAGGCTGAGCTGAGTGTGGACGGGCGATGGGCCCACAAGCAATGTCATTCAAACATGGTAGCGGAAAACGAGAACAAGAAACAAATAGCAGGCCCCAACCGTAACCCCAGACCCTGGTTCGAACCGTAACCAACTACCAACCCAGACTATTTGGCTAACTGACAGTTGCTCCGCCCTCCCCTCCCTGCTCCTCCCCTCCCCCTCCTCCCCTCCGACCCGCCTCCCCTCCCCTCCCCTGCTCCCCCTCCTCCCATCCCTCCCTCTCCCCCTCCCCTCCCCTCCCTCACCTCCCTCCCCTCTCCCCTCCCCTCCCCTGTGAGTAGGGGTTCTAACCATGAAAAAAAAGTTTTTACAATGACAAGGGTTTCTTTAACAATGATAGCGGTTTAGGGTTGGCATGATAGTGGTTTCACGATAGTGGTTTAGGGTTGGCATGATCGTGGTTAACAATGATAGTGGTTTTGGAGCTTTGGGAGGCCCAAAACCTCAATTCTCAGGTCTTTTTGTCACTCCTATGCGGGTCTGGGGGCGGGGGGGGGGCGGGCAGTGACAGAAAGACCCTGGTTTTGGAGCTTTGGCCCAAAACCTCAATTCTCAGGTCTTTTTGTCACTTCCATGCGGGCCCGGGAGGGGGGCGGGCAGTGACAGAAAGACCCTGGTTTTGGAGCTTTGGGAGGCCCAAAACCTCAATTCTCAGGCCTTTTTGTCACTGGAGCCTTGGGCTTCGTTTTAGGGCTTGGGGTTGGGGCTTAGAATGGTTTCGGGGGCGTTTTGTGGGTAGTTGAAGGGTCGCAGGCATTGTGGCTATCATGCACTGAGGCACAAATCCTTATCATGGTTAAGTGATTCCTTGTTGTGGTTAAAAAAATGGGTCTTTATTGCGGTTACGACCCGGCCCCTCCTCCCCTCCTCCCCTCCTTCCCTCCTCCCCTCCTCCCCTCCTTCCCTCCTCCCCTCCTCCCCTCCTCCCACCCTCCCCCCCTCCCACCCTCCCACCCTCCCACCCTCCCACCCTCGCCCTCGCTCTCGCTCTTTCTCTCGCTCTCTCTCTCGCTCTCTCTCTCGCTCTCTCTCTCTCTCTCTCTCTCTCTCTCTCTCTCTCTCTCTCTCTCTCTCTCGCGCGCACGCCCCCTGCCCACGTTCGAAGGCTACAGTGCAACTTCAATGCCACAGAAAACACGTCACCAGGTCAGAACGGAAAGGGTGGCAGTGAAGAAGCCTTTCTGGCAGCATTACAGGCGCTGTCTGCATTTCTCAAAAGATGTTGGTTTGCTGCATGCTGCATGCCTGTCATTTGTTTCGCGGGAGGCGTCTGGCATCAACTCTGCACGGCTCACAATTCTGCTGTCCCGAGACCTTGTGCTCTTGCTTGAGAATGCGAACTAATGTTCTCGATAGAATGAAGTCTCGGCAAGACTCTCTCTCTAAGATTCTTGTGCCGACCGCAGGTACTGAACGTATTGGCACCTCGAGGCCTCATGAGCGAAGTGGCCCAAAGGCACGCAGAAGTCAATCAAACGGACATATGTCTTGCAGAGGACGCAAACCTATTGCTGTCTTCACAAAGCTCTCATGTAGTCAAGCGGACTGGCTGCCGGCGTTGCGAGCGTGTGCGTGGGTGTGGCGATGCATTTATTAGAGCGATCAGCAAAGCCAGGGGCAAAATCAAGCGAGGCACTGCTCCAAGATCTGACAACGAATGTGAATTGCCAGAGTTGGTTGACCAGCTCAGCAAGATTGTGCGAGATGTGTAGATTCCGTACAATCATACCGTACACGACCATGTCATGCGAGTATATGCGAGAACCAGCACATGCAAGAGTTATGCTGTTCGGTGGGGTGGGAGGCGCGTATGCCGCAGACATTTTTTGGGCTGCGCGGTTTCTTTTTTTGTTTCTCTCTCTCTCTCTCTCTCTCTGTCCCTCTCTCTTTTCAGGCGGCGTTACCGTACCGGTGCTGTCGTGCGTCTGGGGTTGTCCAAAGTTCCATGGCATCTAAGACCAGAGTGCCACCGGTTCGGCTGCGACATGGGATCTTGTCCGAGTGCCATGACTGAGTGAGTGCATGTGGGTGTGGGTGTGGGTGCGTGGCTTTTGTTTTTTTCATCTGGCTGCCTGCGCTTGTTATTTACACCCTCCCCTGATTTCCCGGGCGATTTCTCTGTTTGGTGTATTCTTTTTTGTGTTGGTTCCCTCGGTTGTGCTTTCAATGCGGACCTGCCTCTCACATCCTCTCACCCGCCTCTGCCCCCTCCCTGCGGCACTCTTCACCAGCGCCCACTGCAAGCAAACCCACACCACGAAACGTCCACTCCCGATCTCCTCTGTGCACTCGCACCACCCACACCTACGCCACTCAAATTCACTGCACACCTACACCTACACTCGAGCTATGCACAGGCACTCAGACCCACATCCGCGCACTCGGAGAACATCCACACCACCTGCATCACGCACTTCGTGAGCACCGGCCGAACCACGCACCATCCATCCCAACCACCACCCACATGCCCTCAGACGCGCATCTAGCTAGGCAGGCGGAAAAAATAGCCACATTGACACCTGCCATCACCACCCACACCATCCAAATCACCCACGCCACCCGAACCACCCACACCACAAACACCCAATGCAGTCTGAGGAGGATTCCTTTGGGGGGCGGGGGGGGGGGGGGTTCAGGCGGCTCTCTTTCATGAAAAGGCATAAGTTGAGCAGCCCCTCCTCGATAGCAACACAAACTCCACAGTGTAAAGAAATGCCGAATGTGATGGCGGAGATGGCAAAAAAATAGTAACGGCATTAGAAACAAGCATTGGCATCCAGCAGCATAAGCCCGTCCTCATACAAGGAAAAGAATAGCTGGCCTAAATAATGCCTTATGCACGCTGATGTTTTTTGGGCAGGTCAGGCTCCAGAATTGATGTGGGCCAAGAAGGTCCGGCCGGCATGCTGCAGGTGTGGTCGCGGCATGTCAGCTGCATGGTGGTGGCTGCTGCAGCATGTCACCTCGCTTGAGCAGGTGACCCTGAGTGGGGAGATGGTCGGCAATGCCATGGCGGCACTCCTATTGCAAGAGAAGGCGCAAGTTTGCAGTCTGCCACTAATTCAACTCAGCTTGAATTGCAGGCGATTCAGTTTCAGCCAGCGCACTGAGAGCAAGCCGGCGGACACGGACAGTGAAAACCATAGAGATCTGCCAAGCTGCTCTGCAGCAAACGCGGTGCGAAAAAGTCGAGAAGCATCAAGCTTTCGCAGCCATGCGTGCATGCTCAGCACATTCGCCCTCTGTTGTTGCATTGCTTCATTGAGAACCCTGCAGTTGGAAGAAGAAAAGTCCATTGTAAGCTGACTGGTTCTGTTTTCGCTCACAAGGTGAACACACACGCTCGTTTTAACAGGTGGCTGATGTGTTTTTACCTGTATCTGTGAATAATCTTGCACGTAACATATATATATATATATATACATTATACATATATAAGTACATATAGCGTGGCGTGCCATGTAACCTGCCTATCGACAGAACTGCTTGTTATGCAGCAAGCCACTACCAGCAGGGTATGTGTGGCAACCACCATCGCAGAGGAGGCAAATGAGTTTGGAGCAGATTTTTGCGAGTGCTCGAGGACATGATGCGGGCCCAGGGTGTGTATCTGAGGTTCATCTCAAGCACTTGCTGGCTTTGAACCTCAGAAAGCTAGACAGGGCAGAGCTTCTCTTTGCTCCTCGAAGCTACATACTTCAAGCAGGAGCTTTCATGGACGTTGAGATCCAGCGATTCGTGCTTGACTTCAAAGTATCCCGTGCTTTGGCGGTCGTCCAACACGTGTCAGGTTTGTCGCATGGAGTGGATCACACGCGTCACGGGGGTGTGCAGAGGCCGCGTGAAAGCAAGAGTTGCCCTCCAGAGGGCCTGTGGGGGCGAGAAGTTCCTGAGATTGAATGGGAACCCGATCCTGTTCACGCCTCATGCAGTTTGGAATCTGTGTCGGCAGCACTTGCGGTTGTCAGACGTGCAGTCGAAGTTTCTGATCGTTGGCCCCTGGAGTTGCCCAATTTGCCCATCGGTGATGAGGAGTGGGCCTTGATTCGGGCCTATGACACTCACTGTCCCGCGACCGATGTGCATGATGCGCTCGGTGAGTGTCAGAAAACATGCAAGACACTTCTTGAAAGAGCCCCGCTTTATTTGCAATTGCCTCTGCTTCGTCACAATTTTTGGGCTTTGAAGCCGAGCTGTGGCCAATTCGGCCGAGGAATTATGCTCCTAGATCGACTCCCTGCAAGGCCAGCACAACTACTGGATTGGGCAGCATGCGTAGGGCGAGGTGGGCAGAAGGGTGGCAAAGATCTCACTCAAGGCTGTGTTCTGCAGAAGCTTATCGAGTGCCCCCATCTTCTTGACAAGGCAATTCTGGATTCACGTGCGACAGACAATGCTTCGCAACTTTGCATGTGCATGCCAGCAGACCCTGCTTTAAAATACAACTTGCGGATGATCATTGTGGCAACCTTGCGACTCCCATGCCGAATTTGGCTTTACAAACATGGGTTCATCAGTGTGGCTCTTCGTGCTTACACCGAACAGCTGAACCCATTGAGCCACATCACCAACTTGCGAGGACAGGGCAATGAGAGTCAACGGCGATGGCCCTTGGAAGATCTGGACCGACACTTGCAAGTCGAACAGCAAGGGCCCTTTGATGAAGTTTTGCGACCGCAGATCAAGAAGATCATATCTTCCTTGTTTCATGCCCTTGCGCTGGCTCCATGCTCGCTCTTGCCTCTCGAAGAATCGCAGGAAGCAAACGGACATAGAAGTGCCATGGGCAAAAAAGTTCGCCGGTTCGGATTTGACTTCCTGGTCGATGAAAGCCTGTCAGTCTGGCTCCTGGAAGTAAACTTCTTAAAGAACGGATATGCTCTCGGGCATGCGCAGTCTGGCCCTGCTGGCGATGCAAAGCGTACTTTCGTAGACCAGTTCATGGCTGATGAACATCTACTACGAACGGCATTGGCCACGCGCACGTGTGGAAGTGGGGATTTGCCATCAACTTTTGAGGAACTGTTACCTCAGCCTCCATGAACGTTGAGATTGTCTCGGCGAAGGCCGAAAAGTGAGCTGCAACTGGACTTGTTAATACTTGTTAACGAAGCGCAAGTTGAGCAAGGTCAGCACGATGATGAGGCTTCTTGGGCTGACAGTGATGCAGCTTACTACAAGCTGTTCAATGCTACTCATGCTAGCTTTTGAAGCGGAAAGGTACCTTCATATTCCGTGGAATGCAGCTACGGATAGCAGCAAACCCACTCGCACAGGGCAAGGCAGAAGGCAGATGTTTAGGAGGGCCAAGTGCAGCTACGGATACTACACCGCTGCCATCCGCTGCCGCCGTCTTATTTCAGTATGTCCGGAGCGTGATGCGGGGGTACTGACGTTGAGCCATTGTGGTGTTTCTCCCCAGGCCCCAATCATCCCCCAATCCAAACCACACCGATTTACGACCATAGAACATAGAAGACGAGCCAGGTCTGTCTGTTCGAAATCCTTGTTGAATAAGGGCTTAGAAGCTTAGAATCGCCCGAGCTTCCACAGCGACTTTTCGATACCGGGCGCCCCTTCTAAGGTGCACGCGCTGTTTGGGTCTGAGGTGCGCGTGGGGCGGAAACTACCGAGTTTACTCGGCTCCGAAAGGGGGGTTTCACACACTCTGAGCCCCCAGACCTAAACACTTAATCCTAAACTTGGTCCTAAACCCTTTGACCTCGACTCTAAAACCTAACCCCATGGAATTTCAACCCTGAACCCCAAGCCCTGAATTCGAACCCCTGAACCCTAAAGTCTTAGTCCAAATCCTAAATCCCAGATGTCAAACCCCTAAGCCCACCCCAAAAACCTCTAAACCCTTCTAAACCCTAAACACCCCTAAACCCTAAAAAACCCGTAGACCGTCAAACCCCCCAAACCCTGAAAACCCTACACCCTAAAATCCCCTAAACATGAAAAACCCCCTAGACCCTAAAAACCTCTAACCCCAAAAAACTCTAAACCCTAAAAACCCTTAAACCCTAAAAACCCCTATAAACCCTAACAACCCTGAACACGAACAGCCCCTAAACCCTAAAAAAACCCAAAACCTAACCCCCAAACCCTTAAAAACCCTAAACCCTCTTGCCTGCCTGTGCGCTTGCGCGAGAGTCGAAACCCTAAAACCCCCAATTCCCCAAATAAAAAACCCTAAACCCTTATCCTTAAAAACCCTTACACCACAAAAACAACCAAACCCTGAACCCTAAAAACAATTAAACCCTACAAACCCCTAAACCCTAAAGACCCCCAAACCCTAAAAGCCCCTGCGTGCTGAGGATCTATGTGCGGGTTGGTTGTTTCTTGGTTGTGGGTGTTTTGCTGGTTTGAAATGTTCGAGAACCGACTGCGTTCCTCCAAGAACGAACGGAGCCAGACCCTGCCCGCGGTTCGGCCAGCTATGCGGAAAACCTAACCGAAGACCCCTAAACCCTACAAAGCCCCAATCCTGAAAAGCCCTAAAAAACCCCCAAACCCAAAAAAGCCCTAAACCCCAAAACTCCTAAATCCTGCACACCCCCTACACACTAAAAACCCCAAAACCCGAAATTTTCCGGGTCCCAGTCCTGAGCTGGCCACAAATAGGCCTTGCCGAAGTGAGATGTCAACAGATAGCGATGGCAACTGTACAGGTCCGCGTCATCCTCAAGATGACTGGTGGAGGGCCGCGAGCTGCAAGTGTCCGGCCGAAAAAGGGTGCTGCAGCTCCACAAAGCTAGCGTCGGAACAGGCCCAGACCCTGCCGCCAACGCGAGATCACAATGAAGGGTTCTCCGCCAACATCCACCACATGCAGGGATGATACCACAGCTGGCTGGGAAAGACCGTTCCACCACGAGGGGCCCCCAGCCACCCAAGATCGTGCGCCGGATAAAGGATGTCCTCTGCATCGTGCACGCATCTCTGGAGGCCCCAGCGAACATGGTGGCCGGGCCCTGCGCCTCCGCAGTTTCTGCCGCCAGAAAGGCGCTCCCTGGCTTGATCTCCGCCTGCGTCCGCCTGCGCCGCCGGCGCAGCTCGGTGAGTCGCCCGCTGAAGCGCGACTTCCTCGAGTTGCGTCCATCCAGCTTGTTATACCTTGTTACAGTGTTCATCCGCAATCTCTTGCGTCGTTGCCGCCTGTCGATCTTCTTCAGCAGCTCGTCGCTGGCATGGCTGGGGCAGAAGCGGGCCCGGACTCGTAAGTGAACGCGGCTGCCTCAAAACCAGCGGCGACCAGCGGCGCATAGTATCCACCGGTGCCCGGAATGGCCAGATGCGCCGTATGGGCTTTACAGCAAGACCATGAGAGAGTGCACCTCGCCTGGCATGTCCGAGTGTGAGCGATTAAAAACCCCTAACCCCTAAAAACACTTAAACCCTAAACCCGCAAAACCCCCAATCCTTAAATTTTCCTGCACCCTAAAAACTCCTAAACCCCAAAAACCCCTAAACCTTAAACCCGAAAAAGCCCTAACCCTAAACACGCCGAAACCCTTAAACCCTAAAACCCCTAAACCCTCAAAAGCCCTAAGCCCTACTAAACCCTAAAACCCCTAAAACCCTAATACAGCCCTAAACCCGAAAAACCCCTAAACCCTAAAATACCCTAAGCCCTAAAAACCCGATAGCCCCTAAACCCGAAAAAAACCCAAACCCTAAAAACCCTGGGCCTAAACCCTAAGACCCCAAAACCCTAACCATTCCGAAATCCTAAACCCTAAACACCCCCCCCCCCAAAAAAAAAAAAAAAAAAAACAAAAAACTAGCCTGAACCGTAAGCCTTAACAAACCCTGAACCCGAAAAACGCTTACACCCTAAAAACCACCAGACCCTGAACCCTAAAAACCCCTAAACCCTAAAAGGCCATACACCCTAAAGACCCCTAAACCCTGAAAACCCTTAACCCTGAAGACCCCTAAACCCGAAAAAGCCCCCCAAGAAACCCTAAACCCTGAAAAACCCTACACCCTGAAAACCCCTAAACCCTGCAGACCCCTAAACCCTCAACCTCAACCCCAAAAGACCCCTAAACCCTAAAATCCCCCAAACCTGAACCCCGAAAAACCCCTAAACTCTAAAAACCCGAAAATCCCCTAAACCCGAAACCCGAGAAAAAAACCCTAAACCCTACAGTCCCTAAACACCCTAAACCCTAAAAACCCTAAACCCGCAAAACCCTTAACCCTCAAATACCCCTACACCCCAAAACTCCTAAACCCAACAAACCCCTCAACCCTAAACCCGAAAAAGCCTAAACCCTATTTTTTCCGAAACCCTAAAAACCCTAAACCCGAAAACCCTAAACCCCAAAAAGCCGTAAACTTCAAGAAGCCCTAAACCCTGAATACCCTAAACCCTAAAAACCTCTACCTAAAAACCCCTAAACAGGCTCAACCAAAAAAAACCAAAACACTAAGCACCCTGAAACCGTGGACATAAACCCTAAACCCTAAAATCCCCCAACCCTAAAGACCCCCCCAAAAAAACCTAGCCTGAACCGTGCTTCCGCCCCAAAAACCACCACTAAACCCTGAACCCAAAAAACCCTTAACCCTAAAAGGCCCTACACCCTAAAGACCCTGAAAACCCCGAAACCCTGAAGACCCCTACAACCGAAAAAGCCCTAAACCCCAAGAAACCCTGAACCCTGAAAACCCCTAAGCCCTAAAACTCCTAAACCCCTAAAAACCCCTAAACCCCCACACGCCCTAAAAGCCCCTAAACCCTCAAAACCCCTCAACCCCAAAAAGCGAACCCCGAAAATCCCCTAAACACTAAACCCGACAAACCCCTAAACCCTAAAACGCCCTGAACCCTAAAAACCCTAAACCCTAAAAACCCCTAAACCCGCAAAACCCCTAAACCTTAAATACCCCTGCACCCTAAAATCTCCTAAACCCCAAAAACCCCTAAACCCTAAACCCGAAAAAGCCCTAAACCCTAAACCCTAAAAAGTCCTAAACCCCAAGAAACCCTAAACCCCAAAACCCCTAAACCTGAACACCCACACACTCTAAAAGCCCCTAAACCTAAAAATCCCCTAAGCCCTAAAAACCCCTAAACCCGAAAACCCTAAGAACCTGATCACCCGCAGGTGTCAGATTATGTCGTGGCATCATCGTTGAAAGATCACTGGGCAGGGCCATGGCATGGAGGGTTCAATGCGAATTGGTTTTCCACAAGCACAGCACATCGAATCTGTTGTGTCATTGCACATGTGATGTTTGCCTGCCCTGCATTTTGCTGGCTGCAATGTCTGCAATGACTTGCGTGTTCGAGCCTCTGGCTCGGGCCGCTGAGACGAGCGACGGTTCCTGTCCACCATCACTCCTCCTTGGACGATCCCTACGGGATAAGTCCACAGCTTGAATTCTATCCGAAGCTTCAAATCTCCGGGCTGAGCTCCGCTCAAGCTTGCTTCCAAACTGAAATCCAGTTCGAAATGTTGGGTCGCGTGTTCACATCGCTCCAAACCAAGCGACAACGACCACTGAGATTGCGATGACGCCATATATAGAGGACAAAGCGAATCTGCCTTGTGGAGGGGAGGAAAGACCCAGGAGCCGGTTCTTCACTTCCAAAGTAAGTGGCCAGTCGCGTCGCCTGGTCCGCCTTGACTCCCGATGTCTGGAAGCCCTCGACCCTTAAGCCCTGACGAAGAGCCTCCACAGTCAGCAGCATCAGCATGTCCCTGCTTGTTGGCGATCCCCAGCGAAATCTCGGACTTCCGTGGGTGCATCCGAGGTAACCGATGCAACCTCTGGGCTCGGTTGTGGCGACGGTCTCCTACGTCTCATAGAAGACCTCGGTGTCGTCAAGGGCTCCGGTGCTGCTGGTGTCTCCTGGGTCAGGCCTGAGAATTGAGCAGCCTCAGCCACCTCCCGGGACGCAGCTCGTGATGCTACATCCCTAATTCTCTCCAGCCTTTCCTCCTTCTTCAGCTTCTTGTTGTAGTTCTTGCACCAGCGGAGAACCCCTTTCGCCGCTTCCCAGATTGCAATCGCAGATATACACGCCAACAACGTGATCACGATCAGCTCAAAGGATTGTACCCTGGGGATGTCGTCCTTCTCGAAGTCAACATCCTTAGCCCCAGTCGTCGGAGTTATCACCAGGATAATGCTCAAAACCCTTAGCTGCATCGTCGCCAGGCCCTCTGCAATCTTGACGCCAATGAAGCCCCATAGCTCCAGGAGTTGGCGGAGCCTCAACCTTGTCATGATCTTGGTCGCCAAATCTGCAAGTTGCTGCGCCCCAGCAACATGTCTCACTGTCAGGGTGCCCCGGGCGACGGATTCCCTGATGTAATTTGCACGAATCTTCAAGTGTCGTGTCCTTTGCGACCCTTGGCCACCATTGCACATGGCTACAGCACTCGTGTTGTCAACGGCCAGTATTCTTTCATACTCGCCGGGCGCTAACTCCTCCACGATCGAGGCCACCGATTCCAACAGATTGCATCCATGCACAGCCGCATATAGCTCGGCTTCCATCACACTCAAGGTGATGAACGACTGCCGGCCAGCCTTCCAAGCAATCGGGGCCCCATCTTGGGTGATGACGGCTGCTCCAAAGCTCCTGGCACCATACGGGGCATAGCTTGCATCTTTAAAACACACCAGTTCACCCAGCTTGTCGTCTTGAGGTGTCAACTTCAGCCTGAGTTCCGCAGTTCCAGCCAAGTAGGAAAGTAGTCGCCGTCCCAACCTCGCCACATGCAAAGGCCTTCTGCACACATTCGTCGCCATTTGATTTACCACGAACAAGATGTCGGGTCTAGTCTTCGTGGCCACCCATGAAGCTTCTCCAACATATCGTTGAGCCAAGCGAAGCTCCTCTTCCGAGAACTCCTCGGTTCCATCTTCATCAAGCTCCACCTTCTCCAGCCATTCTCGTGGGATTGGCAGCTCAGCGTGCAGTGCATCGTGCATGTCGTGGGCGCGCAACAGTTCGGTTATGTATGCATGCTGGCTGATGCTGTAGCTGCTGCCATGCATCAGAACCTCCACTCCAAGGTACCTCACCGCGACCTTGTCGTTAACCCATTCCAGCTCCGAGGTCGGCCATTCTTCTCGTATGAAGTCGTGAAGTGCTCGTATCAGCAGTGTCGGGCCGAAGTAGAACAGGTCATCAACGTAGGTGACTACCAGCCCCTCCAGTCGTCCAGTTTGCTGATCCCTGACCAACCATAGCTCAGACTCTCCAAGGGCCGGGTTGAGGTAGAGGATGCGATCGCCGAACTTGATCCTTGCCCCCTTCAAGCGAGCATTCCTGTAGTTGCTCCATGTAGCCGGACTTTCTCGCAGTCCGTACAGTGGGCGAGATATCACCCACATCTCGGAGGCCCCGATCCCTGTGTCTCTCACCACCTTTGGAGGTCTCATCGCATACTTGGGCATGTCGCCAGGCCACGTTGCAAGGAGAAAGGCGGTGGTGATGTCGGAGATCGCACCCAGCCAGTGGTTTCGCGCTGAGAAAACCAAGGCCACCCGTAGTCCTTCCGTGCTCGTGCCTCCAGCATACAAGCTCATGTCGGACGGGTCGATGTGGTTTCCACATATCACAACCCTACATTTTCTTCGGAACTTTCCTCCTCGAGACTTTGGAGGTTTGAGCGAAAAGACGCATTTCGCTGGTGCCACCTTCAGGTCGCCGGACGCCTCCATGGTGCGAGCCTCGTCCAGCGATATGCCGAACACCGTTCCTGACGAGAATAGGGCTGTTACCTCCTCCTTGATGGCTCCCACCCATTTCTGCAAGACTGCTTTCACCTGCACGAGCGGCACAGTATGAACCACATCCAAGTCCCCTTCCAACTCTTGCAGAAGATTCTCGTAGTCCACATCGTCGGATTCTGTGCCGGCGGTCGCCATCGAGGCCACTCGTAGGCATCCCAGCATTTTCGCCCTGTCAATTTCCACCATCTGCTCTCGTGTTTCCTCCAGGAACTTCACAACCTCCTCCCTGGCATCGTTCAGGGCATCTCGGCTAATTTGGCCCATCCTTTGGTACTCCTCGGCCAGGACTTCCTCCTCCTCAAGAAGGTCTCGAAGTCGTAGAGCTCGCTCATCCAAGTCCTTGAGCACCAGATCCAGGTCCTCATTGGTTCCATGAAGAGGACGAAGTTCAATAGGGCAACCGGGGCGATCTTCCTTTGGGGATGTGAACGGTCGTGCCTTGGCGATTCTCGGCCTCCCAACAGGTGGCCCGGAGATGGGATCAGGAAGAGGTCGGTGGTCGATCACAAAGCCCAACTTGAGGAGGTAGTCCTTGTCTTTCTGCTCAAGCTTACTGGCTCCTCTCGTGTTGTACCCCACCAACACCATTCTTGTAGAACCCGTCCAAGGCATCGTCGTATGCTTGACACGTGGATCAAACTGAACCGGTCCTGAAGCAACATCCAACACGTAGGACTCACCTTCCTTCGGTTCCATGAGAAGACCACCCCCGTCAAACACAGAGAGGGGTGCAATGAGGTTCATCCCGACGTTATGAACATCCTTGTGCGCTTGGGCCTTGATGTTCTGGCTGATAAACAGGGCCGAGAAGCTGACCTCTGGAAACAGTTGTCGCATGTACTTCGCCAAGACAGCCGTCGTACATGGAAAGGCCTTCGTGGTGTTACTCACCCCGATGACTCCTCCATGCACATATGTTCCAGCGCCCCAACATCCTCCATCATCACCCTGTTCTCCAAATCGCCTCGGAGCCTTCGTGGTCAAGGGCAACATGGATGCCAAGGTCTCGATCTGCTCCTTCTCGAGGACCCCTTCCCCCATGAGAGCTCTCGCATACTCCTCAGCCGGATGTCCAGGGTCCACGGGGATCACTACTTCCTCCTCCTCACGTTGCTCATCTTCTTCTCTAAGGGATTGTTTGCCCACAGCTCGTCTCGCTGGGGGCGTTACAACTGCCTAGTTGATGTGAGGTGAGGTACAGGCCATTGTCGCAGCGAACCACATGTCCATTTCTAACATCAACACTTGGCCCGACATAGTATCCAGAGGTCCACCTGGTGTTGAGGTCAAACTTCCCGCCCGTCCCATAGACCTTGCTCCGCACATGGACTCGTGATCCGAAAGGAAGGACTTGATCACCTCGACCCATCACCCGCTCCCTTTGTGCCCATGCAGCGTAGGTCATCGCAAGTGTCCAACATGAGCGGGGCAGTGAGGTCGAGGTCAAGATCCTTTTGGCCTGGTTCTTGAGCCACTTCACCGCTGACTCAGCTCGGCCATTGCTCTGAGGGGGCCTGTCCCTCAGTGTAGGTCGCTAAGGTACCTCGCTGCAGCAACCATCTCCTCAGCGAAGTACTGCGTAGTTCTCGTGCTCTGTCCGTATGGACACGGGTGATGGGAAAGCCTTCAGACCGGAGGCTCAGATACATGTTTTGCACAGCTGCACCCACCTCCATTGTAGTCCGTGTCCTAATCGGCCTTGCCATATAGATCACTTCGAACTCCGGCTCGCCATCACCAATTTCTGATGCAAAGATCTTCATGAACTCCTCGTCGGTGGGACCCTTCGCCAAGTGCTCCTCCTGAGGTTGATCATCCGCTTCTTGGCTTAGACCGAGAACCTCCTCAAAGAAAGCATCCCCACTTAGGTCATCCCTTCCGACGCCACCATCTCGAAATTCGCCACGTAGATGCGGGTGGAACTTATGCCCCAAATCGGTGACTCCATCCTCCACGACTGCCTGGTCTTCTTTCTGTGGTTCTTCTGGTGATTCCTGAGTGTCCACAGCCTCAGGCGCTATAGACTCACCTCCTCCTGGCTCGACTCCATCCTCCACGACTGCCTGGTCTTCTTTCTGTGGTTCTTCTGGTGATTCCTGATTCCCTCGGGAACAAGTATGCTCCCACGAGCATGTAGCGGTAATCCCGTTGGTCTGGATCTTCGCCAAGTTGTCGTAGTGGACCCAGGATATCCAGAGACAGGCAGTATGAGCTTGGAGTCTTGATTTTTCGATGCATCCTTCCCAACCCAGAAGACTCCACACAGGTCCGACATCGGCGATTGTATGGGAGGTGGTTGTTCCGGATGTGTGCCTTCCACATAGCCAGCTCCTTAGTGCTCAGGGTCTTGAGGAAGGTCTGCGGGTTGTTATCCATCTTCATCATCCACTTAACTCGTTGCACATCCTCAGGTCTCTTCGTCCTGGGTTCGTTTTCAGCCATCTGCACATGGAGGTTGGAGAGGATCCCAGGCGTTATGGTTTCCAGGCAAATCGCTTCTTTGTAGCTCGCAAAGATCTCCGAGAGGTTCCTCATGAAGCCGTCCTTGCCCTTCTCCACCTCTCCCAGAAGTTTACCCCCTTCCATAGCCACATACACTGGGAAGCCACCCCTCATGATTCTTGCAGCCTTCGCTACCAGGGACAACCACAACTGCTTCGCCACCAACTCCTCATCCTCTGGACCTCGGCATGGTGGTGCCCCGACAATCCCATCCAACAGACCCTGAGAAGCTGCCCACAAAAGCGCCCGGTAGGTCCCTGCTGGCTTCCTGAGATTGAAGGCCTTCGAGATCCTCAAGTCCACCTCCAGAACCTGTCCCATCGTGTGGAGTTCCCGATGACCCCCATCTCCAGCAAATAGGTGTAGGGTCCAAGGTGTAGCCAGCAACGTTCTTCGAAGTCGTCGTGACACTGGCATCGCCTTGAAGTACTTGGCTCCGGTGTTGGCGTCCAAGGAAATCTCTTCCGCCAGGGTGGCCTTGATGGCTGACGACAGATTCCGAAAGGGGGATCCCTCAGACTCAATCGCCCGAAGTTGCGCCACCCTCGATCCCGTGGTGAGGAACTCGAGCAGGTGCTGAGACCATTCCAGCTCCTTATCCCACATCCACAGAGTCTTTGCCGACATACGAGTTGCCGCCATAAGCTTGCCCTTCTTCTCCTCCAGGTCTCGGATCAACTCAAGGGCTTCCTTCTCATTGATAACGGGGCAATTTTCCACCATGCGAGGCCGAATCTCTCCTCGTTCCGGATGCTGGATCGTCATGCCCTCCTCGTTCCATTCCAGGCTGCAGTTCAAGCTCGATACGAGGTCTCCAAGAGGAACTATGGGGCTTGCATTCTCATCCTTAGTCAGCAAAGTTCCCGATGAGGCCTGTCGCAACACCACTTCCTTTCCGTCAGCGAGCTGCACTTGTACCTCCACTGCAGATTCCAGCTCTTCCTCTGTCCCTAGGCGATAGGGATGCGATGCTCCTGAATCCAGGAGCCCCGTCCGGATCTCCGCCTCCTTTTCCACTGCTGCCAACCGAAGTGCCTTCATGTTCATCTGAGTCATCTGTCGCAGCATCATGTTGGCTTCCTTCAAGAGAGCCTGCACTTCAGTCGAAGCCTCGGAGGGCGCTGAGGGGGTAGAGCTGGTGCCACCCAAGTTGCTGGACAAAACCCCAGACTGTGGTTCGGCACTCATAGTCGTCGCTGTGGCTGAGGTGGTCGTGGATGAAGTCGATTCGCCCACGTTGGTCTTCTGAAGAGAAGGCGCAGGGGCCTTGGGGAGACTCCTCGCCCTTGTTGGGCATTCTTTCTGAATGTGCATTTTGGAGCCACAAGTGAAGCATCTACCTTGCCTCTGTTTCTTGTCCACCTCATGGGAAAACTGGCAGCTCGCTCCCTTCTTGCATCCCTGTTCTTTCAAGGAAGCTGCCCCTCCCCTTGTTCTGCCCTTGAAAGCCACCTGTTCGAACTCGGAGAGGAGGGCCTGGTGGAGCTCCACCACGGCTGCTTGGGTAGGCTTCATATCTACCTCCAAGGTGTATCGCAGCATGTTCACCCTGAACGAGATCTCCATGCTGTCTCCCAATGGCTTCTTCACCAATGAGTCCAGGCCCTTCAGGAGGATGCTAGGGTCGGGAGGTTGCAAGCCCACATCCCCAGCACGACGAAGCCATCTTGACCAACGGCGAAGAACATCGACTGCTTCTGTCGGGTTGGTTGCCGCCGTTGGTGACTCTAGCGCGCGGAGGATCTGCTGCCTCTCAGCTGCTCCTCCTGGCCTGTAAAGCACTACCGCCCTCGCCAAGATCTGAAGAGTGCCCACCAATCGAGCCGCCAGGATCTCATTCTTCACCGACTCAGGCAAGCTAGCCAAAATCATCGAGGCAGCTCTCTTATCCACTCGGGCCCATCTATTGTCTCCAACTTCCGCCAAAGCATACACTTCAGGACGGAGATTGAGGCGATCTCGGGTGGAAGCTCCAAGGTAGGCCATGTAGTACTTCTCAAGGGATGACGATATGGCCTGCCACCACGTGGAAGATGAGTTGGACAAGTCACCCATCGTGAGGCTGTGAAGCCAGTCCCCCACATCTATTGCACTTGTCTCTGACACCTCCGGCAGCTTCGGGAGTTCTCCAAGGCCTGGCTTCACCACCTCCGGCTCCGAAGTCCTCGCTGTCAGAGATGCCGTCATCGCCGATGTCGGGCACCAACTCCATCCTGAAACCGTCCAGGGACTTGAGATAGTCCAGCAGGATTGCCTCCACCCTTTGAACCTTCAACCCCACGATCAAGCCCGGGAGGTACTCTAGGCTCAGGATATCCCGAAGGTCCAGCTAGATTGCCATCTCCAAGTGGTTGGTTCACACTCTGCTCTGAGGCCCTTGCTTCAACCACAGCACGGAGGGATTCACGAAGACGAAGATTCTCAGACTCCAGGGCCTCTTGTCGTGTCCTGGACTGCTCCAATTCTTCACGATGGTCCTTCATCGCCATCTGAACTTGCCGTTGCACCTCCGCCAGAACTTGTTCCTGGGTAAGAGACCCACTCGAAGACTCCTGCTCCCTCTGAGGCTGCTGGGGATGCAGAAGTGGAGCCCTTCGTTGCCAAGAGCTCATCATCTGCTCGGCCTCAGGAGAGAAGAGTCGGGACTGATTCTGACTCCAGGCTCGAGGCGGAGTGAGTGCAGGGCTTGGTACACCTGGAGAATGGCGAGCTGATCGTTCGAAAAGAGCCCCTGCTTGAGTAACCCTCCTCTGAAAGAACTCTCCAAGTCTCGCCATCCAAACCACCCCATTTCCAGCAGACCTTGGCGAATTGTCATAGCCCTGCATTCTGAGTTCCTCTGGAGGTGAGAAGCTCATCTGACTCACCTGGGCATTCACAGTCACCTCCGCCAAGGGCAAGGCTGCCATCTCCATCGTCAAAGGCTGCTGCTCTGCTACGGCTGCTGCAGGGGTTGTCATTGCTTGCATGGTTGCTTGTTCATGCTCCGGTGCACCCGTTCCTTGTACGTTCGTACGTGCCACGTTAGTCGTCGCCGCGCCCGATCCGATGTGTTCGGCCGATCCGGTGGGAATATCATCGCTCTGACAACCAGCTGTGCGTCCAGGGTCAGCGACACCATCAGGGGGCTCAACTGACTCCCGGGTCAGTTGGGCCCGCTGATGATGAGGACCACCAACACCATTCATCATTGCACTGCTTCGATCTCCAGTTGAAATCTCACCACCACTATCGACAGCACCATAACTGGGGCCTTGCGACTCGCCCTCCATTGCCAGCACCAAGCCCTGAGCGCTTGGGCTCATAACCTGATCACCCGCAGGTGTCAGATTATGTCGTGGCATCATCGTTGAAAGATCACTGGGCAGGGCCATGGCATGGAGGGTTCAATGCGAATTGGTTTTCCACAAGCACAGCACATCGAACCTGTTGTGTCATTGCACATGTGATGTTTGCCTGCCCTGCATTTTGCTGGCTGCAATGTCTGCAATGACCTGCATCTGCCGGCTGCAATGTCTGCAATGACTTGCATGTTCGAGCCTCTGGCTCGGGCCGCTGAGACGAGCGACGGTTCCTGTCCACCATCAGAACCCTAAGAACCCTAAAGACCCTGGACCTAAACCCAAAACCCCCAACACCCTAAACCACCCCGAAACCCTAAACTGGAAATAACCTCAACCCTAAACCTTAAAGACCCCCCTTCCCAGTTCCTAAACCACTGCACAAGGGGGTCAAGCAAGACATCACGGTCATTCGATTCGAGGAGACACAACGCAGTTACTGGCCGCTGCGCAGGGCACCCAGGGCGCGCTGACCACTCTGCAGGCCAAGTTGGGGACGGTCACCGCGGTTCTTGATGCGCTGCCGGAGGACCTCCAACGCATGACCACGCAGGACTCCACGCTGCCCACAAAGCCTTTGCTACCGTGGGTGAGGTCTATGACATGGTCTGGTCTCTGCAGGAAAGCCAGAAAGAGCTGCAGAGCCTTTTAGAGGCGACCACAGCAACGCCCCCGATGCACGGCCCGACGCCCGCGGCGAGGGTCCCTGTGCCGCCCTCCTGCGTCGGCGCCGACGACGCGTGTGCCTGTGCCTTCTCTGTGCACACCTCCGAACGCGCCCATCATGGGCAACTCACCTGGACGCCCAAACGTTGGGCAGCCGCTTGAACGCCCCGCCGCCCGGTGATGGGCTGCGCGCCGCACTTTTGCATGCATACTGCGCGTTTTGAGCCGCCTGCTCGGAATTAGAAGCATGTCACGCATGTTTGTAGGCTGCTGCTCGGCCCGGGCGCTTTGCCACATCCCCATGCCCGCATTCGGAACTTAGCCGTCACATCCCCAAGCCCGATTAACCTGCCCCGACCCGCTTTGGCTGAATTCCCGAATTCGCTGCTTGCATGACTGTTGACAGGTGAATTGTTGAAAGGTGAATGCATGTCATCCCCAAGCCCGCATTCGGAATTAGAAGCATGTCACGTGTTTTTGGCTGAATTCCCGAATTCACTGCTTGCGTGACTGTTGACAGGTGAATGCATGTCGTGCACGTTCATGGAATATATGCCATGGTAACTTTTCGCACCTGCCGGTCCCGCAGCATAGGTAGCCCGCCCTGTTACGATGCGTCTACCACAGTTGCTGTTTGACTTCACCCCAGCATCCCAGAATTCGCTGCATGGAATTCAGGTGCGTGCCCCGACCCGCTTTGGCTGCATCCCAGAATTCGCTGCTTTGCGCATGTTTGTGGAATTCCGCAGTAGCTTTTTGCGACTGCGGTCCGGAATCCCAGAATTCGCTATACGGAGTACGGGTGCCTGCCACGACCAGCTTCGGCTGAATCCCAGAATTCGCTGCTTCGTGCATGTTTGTGGAATTCCGCGGTAGCTTTCCGCATCTGCCGGTCCCGCAACATATGCGTATACCACCGTTTTATTTTGGGATCACCCCGGAATCCCAGCATCCGCAGCATGGAACACAGGTGCATGAACCCATGGCATGTGGCTCCGCACCCTGCGCTCCACTTTACTGTTATGTTACGCACCTTGTATCTGACCCGTCTGTGGAGCGCAGGCCAGTGTACATACGTGTGTGTGTGTGGGTGTCCAGGGCGACAGTGAGGCGCGATCCTGGCGTTAAACAAGGTGGCTGCTTGGAGCTGATATAGCCCCCCCACCAGCAACGACGGGCCTATCGCTCGGAGCAAGTAGCGTGGCCGACTGCTTGTTCGACCGCCGTGCAGGCTGAGTCCTGGGGACGTCGCGGCTCATAACTGTGCCGGCGCTGAACATGCCGCCACGGCCGCGCGCGTGCTCGCGGGCACGACTGCATGCTTGCGCACGGCCTGTTTGTCACAGCCGCGACCTCTATGCTCTCGCGCGTGGGGCTGCGCCTCTCCCGCGCCGGGCTTGGGGAAAGGGGGCCAGAAATTCTGGAAAGACCTAGCACCCCCACTCTACTGCCCTAAACCCTAGCTCCCACGTCGAGACCCGTGCCACGTCATTCAGAAGAGTGCTGGCGCCGCGGGATGAGCATGGCGAGGAAAATCCTCCTGGCACTGGAGGACACGATGCCACACCCCAACTGCCTAGGGCGACTCGTCGCCGAAACAAAGATGCCCCTGCAACGGTCCTCCTGGCGCTGGAGGGAATAGAGGAGGAGAGGTCCACGTGCTTGTTTCCTGCCTTCGGCTAGAAGGGGGCGACTCCATTCCCGGCGTGCGTTTTCCCGCCGAAACAAAGACGCCTTGGCCACGGTCCTCCTGGGGCTGGAGTGTGAACAGAGAAAAGAAAAGGTCCATGTGCTTGTTTCCTACCTTCGGCTGAAAGGTGCGGTGCCTGTGGCAGGTCCGCGCTTCTGCTGCCACGTGCGCGGAGGGGACGCGGGGCGTCGGCCCTTTGGGGGTTCGAGGTGAGGGCGCACGGAGATGTCCGCGCTTTCGCCTTTGCCACGGTCCTCCTGGCTCTGGAGGACATGCTGCGGGGCGTCGGCCCTTTGGGGTTCGAGATGAGGGCAGACAGAGATGTCCGCGCTTTCGCTGCCATGCGCCGTTGCCACGGTCCTCCTGGTGCTGGGGGTGTGAGCTGAGAGGGAGAGAGGCCTGGCTCTGTGTCACAGCGTGGCTGCCTGGGCGGTTGTGTTCCGGGCGTGAGTATTCCCGCCGAGCCAGCTGCCCTTTGCCACTGTCCTCCTGGTGCTGGGGGGCGTGAACTGAGAGGGAGAGGAATGCAGCAGTCTTGACTTTGGGCTCCTTGTGCGTTGTTTCACGCCTTCGACTGGAAGGCGCGGTGCCTGAGGCAGGGAGTTTGCTGGGTGTCTAATGTTACTAAATGCTGGTTGGAGAGCGTGCCTTGGGCACCTTAGACTCAGAGTACGGCGCTTATCCATGACTGCCGCACTTCTGCAGTTTGGCTGGGTTCGGGGATACGGAGTGATTTGTATGGTAGAAAACCCCCTAAACCCTAAAACCCCTAGACCCTCAACACCCACACACCCTAAAAGCCCCTGGACTCAAAACCCCGCAACCCCAAAAGACCCCTAAACCCTAAAATCCCCTACATCTGAACCCCGAAAAACCCCGAAAAAACCCGAAACCCTAAAACCTCTAAAACCCCTTAAACTCCTAAACCCCAAAAAGCCCTAAACCCTAAATAGCCCTAAACGTTAAAAACCCCTAAACCCTAAAACCCCTAAACCCCAAAATCCCTTAAGCCCTGAAACCCGAAAATCCCTAAGAACCCTAAACCCTAAAAACCCTGGACCTAAACCCCCAAAACCCTAAGCCACCCCGAAACCCTAAACCCTAAAAACCCTCAACCCCAAGCCCTAAAGACCCCCCCCCTCCAGTTCCTGAACCTTAAGAACCCCTAGCCTAAATAAACCGTAAGCCGAAAAAAAACCCTAAGCCCTAAAATCGCTGACACCCTAAAAACCACCTGAACCCTAAAAACCCCTAAGCCCTAAACAACCCTACAGTCGAAAGACCCCTAAACCCTGAAAACCCCAAAACTCTGAAGATCCCTAAACCCGAACAGGCCCTAAACCCCAAGAAACCCCAAAACCCGGATAAACCCTAACCCTCAAAACCCCTAAACCCTGAACCCAAAAGACCCCAAAACCCTAAACTCCCCTAAACCTGAACCCCGAAAAACCCCTAAACCCCAAAAAATCCCTAAACCCGCAAAACCAACCCCCAAAACCCCCAAAACCCCCAAAACCTAAACCCGTAAAAGCCTAAACCCTAAACATTCCGAAACCCTAAAACCCCTAAGCCCTAAAACCCTAAACCCTAAAAGGCCCTAAACCCAAGAAACACTAAACCCTGAACTAAACCTGAACAGCCACACACCCTAAGAAACCCTAAACCCTAAAATCCCCTAAACTAAAAACCCCTAAAACCCTAAACCCGAAAAAACCCAAAACCCTAAGCGCCCTAAACCCTACTACCCTGGACCTAACCCTAAACACCCAAAACCCTAACCCACCCCGAAACCCTAAACCCTAAAAACCCCTCAACCCCCAAGCCTAAAGACCCCCCCCCCCGTTCCTAAACCCTAAAAACCTCTAGCCTAAACTGTAAGCCTTAAAAAACCCTGAACCCGAAAAACGCTTACGCCCCAAAAACCACCACTAAACCCTGAACCCTAAAAACCCCTAAACCCAAAAGGCCCTAAAAACCCCTAAACCCTGAAAACCCCGAAACCCTGAAGACCCCTAAACCCGAAAAAGCCCTAAACCCCAAGAAACCCTTAAAACCCCTAAACCCTAAAAACCCCTAAACCCCTAAAAACCCCTAAACCCCCACACGCCCTAAAAGCCCCTAAACCCTCAAAAAACCCTAAGATCCCTAAGAACCCTAAACCCTAAAAACCCTGGACCTAAACCCAAACCCCCCAAAACCCTAAACCACCCCGAAACCCTACACCCGGAAAAAGCCTCAACCCTGAACCCTACCCCCTTCCCCCAGTTCCTAAACCCTAAAAACCCTCAGCCTAAACCGTAAACCTTAAAAATCCCTAAACCCTAAAAACGCCTACACCCTAAACACCACTAAACCCTGAACCGTAAACACCCCTAAACCCCAAAAAACCCTACACCCTGAAAACCCCCAAACCCTGCAGACCCCTAAATTCGAAAAAATGCTTAACCCTGAAAACCCCTAAATCTTGAACACCCACACACCTAAAAGCGCCTGGACTCTCAAAACCCCTCAACCCCAAAAGACATAAACTCTAAAACCCCTTAAACCCCTAAACCCCAAAAACCCCTAAACCCTAAAAGCCCTAAACATTAAAACCCCTAAGCCCTAAAAC